TTGATTTCCTAATTTGAAAGTTAGTTTGAAATATAGAAATAAAGAACCTAAAATGAAAGGAGTTTTCTAATTTAGGTTAAATGGTATTTTGGAAAATTAATTTTCAATGTGGACCCCGCTAAAATAATATAAGAATATTTATTTGGATAGTCCAAATAAATTAATTAGGCTAAAATAGTTTTGGCCCATTAGGTTTAATTAAAAGCCTTAAGATAATTTTGATGGAAGGATAAACATCAACCTTATTAGATAAGGTTGAATGTTTTTAAAGATAAATATTAAGTAATCCACATGTAAAAATAACTCCTTAACCTTGAAGGATAAGGATGCAATAACCTAAAGTCCTAATTAGGGACTTAGGTCGCCCTTTCATTGTCCTTAGAGGACAAGGAAACTTTCCCCTATAAATAAGAGGAGAGGTACGGCAAAAAAAGGGAGTTAATACATACATTGAGATTCGACCAAGCTAGAAAAACATATAGCAAAATTCGATCATCCCTAATACCAAGCTAAGACACACGACCAAGAGAGAAAAAGAGAGAAAATAGTTTTCTCCTAAACCCCGGCAAGCCATACTCTTTTCTCCTTGAATAAGGTTATCGCAAAGTTGTCCAAGATTGATTTCTAGTGAAAAAAATTAATTAGAAAAGGTGGAGCTAGCACACCATCAATTTTGAGTGCTTCTTTGTGGATATTTGAGCTTTGTGGATCATTAATAGAGGCTAGACACTTGGACGACTAATCAAAGAAAAGGAATTTAAATTTGCACTATAAGAGGTAATCTTTTACTTTTATCTTGTTATTCATGTATGTATGATTAATTGATTCAATGGCATGATCTTGGGCTCTTAGATGGAGAAATTTTTTTATTTATTCCGCACCTCCACAGGATGTATGATCCTTTAAAATATTCATAAAATGGTCCAAGATATTTTTGATAATAGACTTTTGGAAGAAGTCCAAATGCTTGAGAAAAATCAAGAGACTTCGATAAATTATGTCAATATAGAGAGAAAATAGGACCGAAAAGAAATATTTATTGATGTGGTTTTTATATAAAATGTTGTAATTGATATTTTGAATGAAAATAAGGATCTTGTGCCTAAATTTATTAAAGAATATCGACATAGAGATGATTTTCTTAAATGAAAAAAGCAATCGAGGCATAATTATGTTCTTTTACAAATGAGTAGTTTTTGAACTCATAGTCAAAACACTTGAAGATGTTAAGTTAGTGGAGTAAAAAAATATATTTATGCAAAAATGAAATAAGAAAGATGAGATTATAAGATACAAAGCAAGACTTTTAATATAAGAGTTTTCGTAAAGAATCGACATTGATTATGAAGAGAGATATTCTCATAGAATGGATGCTATTACATTTCGTTATCTCGTTAACTTGGAAAAGTATATGAAAAAATTCATATGCGTGCATTTAATAAATATGATCACAACTTATTTATTCAATTAAAAATGATATCTATATGAAAGTCCTAAAAGGACTTAAGATGCCTAAAGCATGTAATACGTATTCTCGAAAAATGAATTCAATTAAATTATAAAGATCTCTATTAGAATTATTTTAATATTATTTATATTATTTTAGTTTTTATAAATTCAATTTATTTTATACTTTTTATATTTTTATTTTTACTTTTCAATATCTACTCTTTATTACTAACTCTGTGTGCATGTGGTATAATTAGTTCAATAAATATTTATTGAAAGAAGGTTATTAAAATAACCATATTTATTCATGTATTTTTATAAGGAAATTCGAAAAGGAGTTTATAATAATTGCTATATATATTGATGATTTAAATATTATTGAAACTCTTGAAGAGATTCCAAATATCATAAATTATCTAAAAGGAGAATTTGATATGAAATGCCTTCAAAAAATAAACTTTTATCTCAACTTGCGGTTTGAGTACTTAAAGAATAAGATTTTTATTCATCAGTCAATTTATTTTACTTAAATGAATCAAAGGCGGTTTTAATTGTACGTGCGGATACATGTTATTTATCCGATCCATGTAAAACTCAATCATAACGAGCTATGTATTTACACTTGGTGGTACAACTATATCATGACGTTTTATGAAACAAACTATATTTGCTAAATATTCAAATCATGCGAAATACCAATTCATGAGGCCGAGTTGAGAATATGTTTAGTTAAGATCAACGATCTATCATATCCGAGAGACATGTAATTTATCTATCGGTAAAAGAAGTTCCAATGATATCATATGAAGATAATGTTGTTTGTATAATTTCATTAAAGGAAGAATACATCAAAGTGATAATCCGACAAACTTATTCACTTAGGCATTACCTATCATAATTTTTTAGGATACACAAGATTGAAATACATCATTTTAAAGATCTCAAATAATGTCTTCAACAGGGGAAACCAACATTGAGATTAATGTGTATAAGGACTATTATACTATTTGTCCTTCACTAGAATTTTTTTCCATTGGGTTTTTTCCTAGTAAGATTTTAACGAGGCATAGTCCTTATACGATGGACATTCAAGGGGAAGTGTTATTAAATAATGAATGTTCATTTCATATTCTCCACTACTCATATGATTCAATTTACTATTACATATGAAAAATTGAAATGGTGATACAATTTATTCAATTATTTATGCATCTTTTAATGGTTCATAATCCTTTCAAATTCTCTTCCTAATCTTGAAGCCTATAAATAGGCTTTATTGTTCATTAGTTTACGTACAAGTTTTTTAGAGAGATTAAGAGAATAATTTGAAGTTCTTATCACTTGTATTTACTTTACTCGTGAATTCATTTTCTTGTCATCATTCTCTTCAATTATCCTATTATTTCTATTTCTTGTATAACAAAAACAAAAATATTGATGGACATTTTAGACATTTGATATAAAACATATTTAATTATAATTTAATAACATCAACGAAGGATATGTTAGTAATTAAAAAAATATTGCAAATAATAAATTTGATGTTGAAATTAACATTATCTTTTTTAATACGCATCATGTGATATTAGTGCATGTATACAAGATGATAGGGAGAATATATGTGAATTTACCATAACAATCATATGCTTACTATTATAATGAAGTTGGATATTTATCTTTGTTTGTATACAAGATGATAGAGAGAAGATCCGTGTATTTACAATAACAATCATATACTTACTATTATAATGAAGTTTGATATTTGTCTTTGTTTTGAAAGGATAACTTATAGGGTATTGATTCATCAATAAAGGACTTCGCAACCATGTTGAAATATCCTAATTGAAATGGTTAAAAATTTTTATCATGGGTCTCCTATTGATTTTTACATTAGTTTTTCTCCTTATTTTTATTTGTCTTAAGATCCCTTTTTGACTTTTATTTGTCTCTTTTTTTACTTTCAAACTCATCTTAATTAGATTTTTTTTTTATCAATAACCATAATTTGGAATATCTTAGCAAGCAACCAACCCAATTTGTTAATATGTGTCAAGTATGAATAGTGAAGTTAAAGATTATAAAAATAAATACATATAACTATTTTAAATCGTATACATATAAAAAAAATATGATTTTCTTTTTCATCAAAGAGCTTGTAACTCGGCGATAGTTGTCTTTTCCAACAAGAGGTTACAGTTTCAAATCTTAGTAGACTAATTCTGTTAGAAGCCTTGAGTATGTGAATTAAACTAAATAAATAAAGCTTAAAAAACTATATATATATATAAATTTTAACTTTTTTTTTTTTTTGGTTAGATACTAGTCGGTGACTAAAAACCATTGACACCGTAAAAAAAAAAGACCTAACTAAGACGATTTGAAAAAAATAAAAAAGGGATATTAAGACAAATAAAAGTAGAAGGAGGAACTAGTAAATCAAAAGTAGAAGAACCTATAAAAGCTTTTAACATAATCTATATCCTTGCCTTTGAACTATATGAAAACAATACAAATTATGTAAAGATAATTTATTAATATTCTGACAACGATAAGTTAATCCCAATAAAAAAAAAAAAACCATCTTCGCATCTTAGTAAATAAGAGACTTCAAGAAATATATATATATACACATATATACATATATGTGTGTGTGTGGAATCAAAACCTAATGCATGCTGTAAAGGAAAATTAAAGAGCACCATTATAAAAAGATAAAACGACTCCACTGGGGATCGAACCCAGAATCTCTGGTTCCGTAGACCAGCGCCTTATCCATTGGGCCATGGAGTCATTTTGTTAACGATTTCCTACACATTCAATACATAAAAAATAATAAAGCTGACAAAGTGGAACATGTGTGTCCAAAAAGCAGCAGGGGTTAGCTCATTAGTTATGATCAGAGTAAATTATAAATTGGCCCTTTTAGTTTTTTAAATAAACAAAATAGTTCCTAGAGTTTCAATAATTAATTAATGGGTCTTTATATTTTCAATATTTTGTAACTTAATCTTTGTCATTATTTTTTTATTTTATTTGATTTTTTAATAAATATAAAGTCAAAAAATAAGTAGAAAATATGATAATATTGATGATAAAGTTTTTTAAATAAAATAATAATAAATTAAATATGATCAATGATTAAAAAACTAATTAATTAATATTTGAAACAAGGGGGACTATTTAATTTATTTTGTTAAATTAGAGAAACTAATTTACAATTTACTCGTTATTACCGTCATATTTTCTTTAGCAAGAAAAATCCAAAGACAAGACTTTGAACCTACTCTTCTTCCTTCCTTTCCTGCCGGTGGAATGGAGCCCGTCTTCCCCACTTCTGCTTACTTATAGGTATAGAAAGGGAGGAAAACAAGGCTTTTCAGTGGTTGTATCTGTTGCAGAACCCAAAAAAGAAACAAAAGTTCGGGATGCCATGGAAAAGGAATGATAATATGTAAACAGAATCTCATTTAGTTCTCTATTTGTCAACTTTTAGTCATTTTGGTGGTGGAAATCCATTCTACCGATTTTGGTGTTTAAAAAAGAAAAAAAGCATGGGAAAGCAACAAAAGTCATTAAGTAGCAAAGCAGTCCACTTTGTATCTGATCTCACCACTGTCATCCTTAACCCTATCTCTGATAAACCCTCCAAGCATCCCACCCCTCTTCCTCATCCTGCTCCTGTAAGCCCATCTCTGTCTTTCTCTCTTGATGTTTGTTTTATCATGTTTTGGGGTTAAAGTTTGAGACTTTATTATGAAGTTGCCTTTTTTGGATAATTGGTTGAGGAGCCACTTCTAATTTTATGATGGGTAGGAAGATTTAGTTTGTTTTTGTTATTGGGACTTTGGTTTTGGATCTTATAAATCTGTTTTCTTCTCTTCTTTTTGTGAGTTCTCTCTATCATATTGAGGTTTGATTAATCATTATCTTTTTGGCTAGAATTTTGATCATGGAAAGCTCAATGCGTTTTACTATTGGGTGGTTGACTTAACGGGTTTAAGAAATTATCTGTTTGTTTTTTTGTCCTTGCCTTTTTTGTTAACAAAAGATGGAAGGAACTTCCTTGGAAATCAAAATGAAAAAATGACCTAATACCATGGTGTATAGTTGATAACCTTATCCAAGTAGATATTGGTGTTTTTTGTACTGTGTTCAGCAGCTTAATATAACAATGTTGAGCTCGAACTCTTCAAGGTTGTCTATATTCTAATGATTTGCCTATTGAGGTTGGATGGATACTTTGTTTTCTGGTTAATCATTTCCAAGAATTACTGTGATTGGACTATTTTTGGCTAGAATTTTGATTGTGGAAGCTCAATGCATTTCTCTACTATGGTTTATTAAGGGATATGGGTGAATTTGTGTCTGTTTGTTCTTGCTTCTAAAGGAACTTTATCGAAAATTAAAATGGCTACTGATGTTAGAAACCATGACTAAAATGAACCTGATGATGGATAGCTGACACTCTTTTAAGTCTTCTCCGAATAAGTTAAATTGATAGCATAGCAAAGTTATGTTTGGACTCTAGCAAGTTTCTCATAGTTGCAATAATTTGCATATTGTTTTGATAGGAGCATGTCAGTGAGTCGAAAAGGAGTCAGCTAGAGTCCATTGCTGAAGAGGATATGGGGCGCTTAGTCGAGGAACCTGATACTTCTTCGTTCACTGCATTCCTATACTCCTTGTTATCATCCTCCGAGTCTGGAAATAATGAAAAACTGGATGAGCAAAATGATAATTCAGCACAAACAGGTGACCAGGTATCCGAGAATGTAGCGAAAGAGGGTAGCACAAAAAGGGGGTTACTTTCGAAGGGCAAACAATCTCTTAGAGCTATTTTCCAAGCTACACGAATTGGTGGATATCGGAGTCAAGAACGCAAGGGCAATTCAGACTTGAAAATTGCTGATGAGAATGATAATGATTTTGGTGGACTTGAGATGAAGAGTATGCTGAAGCAGAACCTGAAAGAGCCTGCTGCTTTGGGAGATCTACCAGACATATCTGAACCTTCTTTGCTTCTTTCAGAGAAAACAAGAAGCACCCTTTATGATGCCCTTCCAGCACTTGTTCAAGGGAGGAAATGGTTATTGCTGTACAGGTATGCGGGTACAGATTTTAAATACTCAATTAAGTTTTGGATTTTCAAATTCTTATAGTCATTCTATTGAGCTAAATAATAAAATAGTAGTCCTTCCTTGACTTTCTCTTTCCCTGGAGTTGTTTGCAGTACATGGAGGCATGGGATATCACTTTCAACCTTGTATAGAAGAAGCATGCTTTGGCCTGGACCTAGTCTGCTGGTAACGCTAATTTGCTTTTGGCTAGGGCAATTCTTTTTGTTTGTATTTAATTTAGATTTGTCTTCTGAACGCTATTTTGCAAGTGGAAAACTGTGATGCCCCCCAACACACAAAAACACGAAAACACATGTATGTATTTGAATCATTGGCAAAATTGAATTCCCACGCATGTATATCGGTGTAATTATATTACACTGTTACATTGCACATAATTCTCTTTATGAAATAACATAAAAAAGTCCAGTATGTGCACATGGTCTCCAAGGAACTTTCTCACTAGATACTTCTCGTGTGAGTGCAGTATCTGAGAGGATGTGGTGAATCTGTATTACTTTGTTGCTGGTGTTTATTCTGAAGTTGAATGACTAGATCTGTCCCAGTGATTATGAACTTTGCACATTATTCACCAGCCATGCATGTGGGCATTCAATCTGGAGTTGCTACACCTTTCTCACCATGCTAATTTTCTTTCAGGTTGTTGGAGATCGCAAAGGGGTAGTATTTGGTGGCTTGATTGAAGCTCCCTTAAGGCCAACCAACAAGAAGTATCAGGTAGATACAAACTTATTGATTCATATAGAAAGTAATTTCTTTTATGTGTTGTGTTGACCTTGAAGTTTGAACAGGGATCAAATAGTACATTTGTTTTCACAAATGGACCTGGTCATCCTGTTATATTTCGACCCACAGGTATCTCCCTCACAGCCTTGTAGGTGAAAACTCTTGATTCTAATTAACTTTCTTACTGTTGGAAACATCTGGCTTGTTTTGTTCATGTGTCAAATCATTATTTCTTACATGTACTTGCTTACTTTATGGATGTTGTTTGGGCATCAGTGTGCAAATGTCCTGTTGGAATGGGTTAAAAAATGTTCATCAAACTGATATTGTTCGCCTAGAATTACAAGAAAATTGGTTGCAAACAGCTTATATATAATTTTTAAAGTAAAATAGTTTCTTATTCTGTTGGTACATTTTGCTTTGCTAAGCAAAGTTTGTTTTACAGAATTTGCAACTGTGAGGACAAAAACTGCATTACATATAGAGTACTTCAAGTTCATTTAACTTTTAGATGAAGTAATCACAGCTCCCTGCTGCAAGCAAATGCTACATATTTCGTGCTGTTAACTTGGTAGATCTACATAGCCTTGAGAGCACTGAACTTATTACTGGCAACATAAAATGTACTGCTATTTCAATAAAAGGACATCTGACATGCTAAAACTCCTTTGAAATACCCGAAGATAGAATTTTTGGAATAATCTTATGTCTGAACTATGAATGTCAATTGCAAGATAAAGTCAAATTGCATGATGCCTGGAAAACTGAGTTAAATAGGAAATTTGTAAATTTCTGAAACTGGAGGGGAAACTTAGTTGAGGAATGAAAAAGCCTACAATGTGAGGGCACACATGCACAGCCATGGCCATCCCAGAAAGGTTTTTTATTGAAAGTCTACTGGGCTTCAGTTGAACATCTATTCAAAACCTATTTCTCTGAATACATCTGTGCACTAACAGCTATGTTAAAGCAGGTGCTAATCGTTATTTCACATTGTGCTCCTCTGACTATCTTGCAATTGGTGGAGGTGGCCACTTTGCACTCTACTTGGACGGTGATCTGTGAGCCCCCAACTTTTCTTCTCTGTTATATATGTATTTATTCTGCATCTATGTGATGTGAACTATATGTCTGTTTCCTAGAATCAAATTTTAGGGAACAACACACATTATTATATACTGGATCTAATTTTTTTTTTATTCCATGCAAAGATTAAATGGATCTAGTTCAGTCTCGGAAACCTACGGGAATCCTTGTCTTGCGCACTCTGAAAACTTCGAAGTTAAGGAAGTTGAGGTATGCATGGAGCCTCTCCTTCTCCTTCTTCCCTTCTCTCTCTCTCTCTCTCTCTTTATCACACGCGGACACACACACACACACACACACACACACACACACACACACACACGCACGCACAATATGCAGCAGGCAATCTCCTGTGGTTCACCAACTCTACAGGGTCAAATGCCTTTTGAGTTGGTTACAAAATAACTGGCAGAAGTCACTTTTTCCATATTGCAGTTGTGGGGCTTTGTATATGGTTCAAAGTATGAGGAAATACTTGCTTTGAGCAGAACTGAGGCTCCTGGAATTTGTCGGTTTTAAGCGTTCGAGAATTGGACGGGTCTCATTTTATTATGATGTGGATCAAATGGTTCTTTTGATACTACTGAATGATGATGAATGCCAATCTGTTGCACATTTCATATGGAAGCCCGTACATGTATAGACATCATTTACCACAACCTTTGTACATAAATGTTCAACCTTTTAGGCGAAGAGTGCTTTTTAATGTTTTCACTAGCCAGTTTTGGATGTAAGATGGATTTGACAGTAATGTGACTGAATATAACAAAGAAGAAGAATGCACCTGACATTGTTAATATCCTACTCAGTGATATTGCCAAGAACTTTCAGTTTAATAGTTTAACGAGTTTATGAGGCATACGACAATGCCTCATTTTGTTGCCTGTACTGTTCCTTTTCTTTTGAGGTCTTAGATTTCCTTGAGATTTGCCTCAAGCCCTCAACCATGGATAGAGATGTAGGGACTTCAAACTGGAGGTTAAAAGAAACTGTCACCATGCCTGAAGATAATAGAGGTATTTGAGGCTGTGTTCCAGATGATTTGAATTGCTGGTAGTTTTGAATGCTGGGACACCATTTTCTCTCTCTTTTTATCCAAGTATTTCGTGATTGCATAGCATGATGACTCCTTCAGCACCCTCTTGAGTACTCTCTGCCCAAAATGATAGAGGCCATAGAAAGTACCGCAACTTTTATTCAAGGTCGGAAAAAGGATGGCTTAACCCTTTTAACTGAATGGCTTTATTTTTATTTATTTTGGGTAGAAATGACAATCAATGTTTTGCCTGTTTGTTATCTGCCCAAGGAGGAATTACATTTTGGAAAACATGTGAATCCCTTTTGCGTTAAAAAAGAAAATGTTTCCAATCTGAAGTAACATTTTGGAGCGTTGCATTTTGTTAAATTCGACCAGCTAAAGTCTCTCCAAACTCTAAAGGTGCAAGCTTCTTCTTGTTACTGGTCCTTCTTGAGTGTCTGAAAAAATTTACCAGCTACCATATGGAATGCTGAATTTGATCCTCTCTGATTGGCTGAATAAATTTAGCAGCCACTGTGTCTGTGTATCACCAAGTGCAAACTGCAAAAAGAACTCCCTAACAGTCACAAAATCATTATTGCAGTTAGCATTAGTGCTTCAATTGATGCATTTTTACTTCCAATAACATTACTCCAAGTCTCCAACCCATCGCCCAAGTTTCAGCCACAGGTAAGATGCTGTGGAAAAAGAGAACATGGAAAAAGCGAGAAAGTGTGAGCGGGCACTACATCATCCCTTTTCTATTACAGTATTCAAGGTTCAGCATTGGAAGCATGGAATTAGATATGTAGCGAAGTCGTTGAAAAAATGAGTTTCAAGTTCAACCAAAACCAATTTGGATAACGAAATCTGAAGTTGTTGAATACCCATCTGTATAGCATTTGGCAACAAGAAAGATGGGTGAATTGATGTTTGTATAGGACAGAAAAAAGGCAAAAAGAAACTCATTTATGGCTAGTGGATATGAACAAACAAACTTCTGCTGATATACATAAGTTTGTTGTCCTATGAAGTTGAACGATAAGAACCTAGGAAAACATAGAACAGGTTCTAAGAACCCTAACTGAAAAAGGTGAAAGAAAACAAGCATTAATTGAAATATGGACAAAGAGCTATTCAACAGTTGTTGATATATATTCCGATCGCTTCCCCACAAACCTTTGACGCAGGATCTGTAACAAAATCAAGAAGACTCATGTTATCTAATATTATGTAATAATGCTACATGTATTAGTGCACCACTTGATTGCAGGGTTTTACCAAAGGAAAAACTATAATGAAAAAAGAACAGAGACTTGTTCGGCACAATATCATTCTGTTTAAGAAACCAAGTACCTTCCTCCCTTTGTCACCAGTAGTTTCTCCCACGAATATGTGCCAAACGAAACTGCTGCAATGCCTTCAATCAAGTGACTGTAGCAGTTTTCGTCACCATCTCTTGTGGTTTCTGAGGGGCAACATTCATCAGATTGGCAGCCTTCTTGTCTGCTGTTTCCTCATATGCAGCTGCATGAACACCAAGAGCAGCACGACCAGAAGGATCAAGATTTTTTGACCAAGAGGCATCCCATTCCACTGCTTTTGCAGTACTGCAAGCCACGCTTGGACCTCCAGGAACTGTTGACCTTGCAGCATTCTGTTCAAGAATGGAAATTAGTCTACAATAATGCAACAGCTGAACAATGGAACAGGCAGCAATCTAGCAAATGAATCCAGCTCCACTATATTTCAGAGAAACCTTAGAATGAAAGCTCACATACTGGAAAAGAATAATATTGCACCTTAGGAAAGAATTTCTCGAAGATCGTTCTGTAGTAATATGCCTCTTTGGTTGTAGGAGTATTTTCTGGGTAGATGAAGCTTGCGTTCATCAACATTAAATCTGTGACCTGCCAAGTTATAATAGAAGCCATAAGTGGTTCGTATCCAGATAAGGCTATAAATAAAAAATTTAGTCCAGTAAAAGTTGAATCCAAAGCTAGAGGTCCTTTTTGCAACAAGAATAAAAGAAATCACTAAAAACATAAAATATAAGAAAATCATCCATGTTTCATTGGTTGTCTTCGACAAAACTGGCTGAGGTGTAGAATGCAAACAAAAGCCCTCAACAAGTTTCGAAGCATACGTACTTGTTTGTTTGCATGATCCTTCAAACCATCAATCCAGCTGTACCCAACTCCATCACTGAACTGCTCCTTCTGCCTGTACAATATGTTCTAAACGAAATACACACAAAAAAAAAAGGCATTTCAAAAAAGTTTTTAAATGAAAAACCTACAAGGTTCTAAAAAGCAAAAAGTTGTATGTAGCTTGATGGTAGCACATGTTTGCAGAAGTAGAAATTAAAAAAAACCTTGGGCAGATATGGGTTCTTCTCATCATCGAATGCATTACGTAAGACCCACTTCTCAATCCTTCCAAGATCAGGCCTGATCTGCAAGGATGAATGCAAATAACTATAGTGATTAGATTCTAATCTTATACTATTATTACTTTTTATCAGCAATCTTATCCAACAAATATAACGACAACATATCTGTTCTCTTAATATTAAATGATGAGCCTACAAAAACTATTATAATTCAATATTACACAGCAGGCAACAGCATTGAAAATCTCCAAATGCTGGAGAAGCATGCCTCAGATTTGAAACTACAAAACCTATGGTGCCAACGAACAGTAAAATACAGAGCACAGGAGAAAGAAGAAAACGTGCAGATCTGTGTTTAAGAGTTAACACAAAACAGATTGGTTATGCTGTTTTATATAGTACTTTCCTTGTGCAGTGACTGGAATATGCGGCCTCAGTTATTTTGCTCTGTAAGTGATCACATGGACTTGTATCACATAATGAAATAGGAAACATACAATAAAGAACAAGTCCTTACCATTTTCCACTCGGGATCTATGCTCATAGCAACATTGATGAATTCTTTATCTAAAAAGGGAACACGAGCCTCAACACCCCATGCCGAAGTCGATTTGTTGGCCCTCAAGCAGTCATAAAGATGAAGTGCCTTAATCTGAACAATTATCAAAACAGCAATCAGAACTACAAAAAAATGCTGGAGGTAGTATGATATATTAAATCCAACTAACATCTGTCCGTAGCATAGTTTATCAAATCCTATTTCGTAAGCAACAAGTGAAAGCAATACCTTTCGACAGGTCTCTTGGTGAAACTCCTCCTTGTTAGGTGCCTTATGGAAATACAGGTAACCTCCAAAGATTTCGTCTGATCCTTCCCCAGAAATAACCATTTTCACTCCTAAAGATTTGATTTTTCGTGACATAAGAAACATAGGAGTACTGGCTCTAATAGTTGTCACATCATATGTTTCAATATGATAAATAACTTCCTCAAGAGCATCAATCCCTTCCTGATATAGCATCAATGCAACATTTAAGCACTGGACATGCACAGTATAAATTCTCTTTGTTTTTACAATTAAAATAAGCACTTACCTGAACAGTGAAGTGAAACTCATGGTGACGGGTTCGGAGATAATCTGCTACTTCCCTTGCAGCTTTCAAATCAGGGGAGCCCTAAATAGAAAAAAAGAAGCAAAGCATGTGCACGAATGAGGAGAGCAGTATTTAATGCATCGGACCTATCTAATTTCCTATGACATTACAGTGAGGGCACCTAGTACAGAGGTCAGATAACAATGCCAATGCCCATGCCTTTGTCATATGGATAATGGATAGTTAATCATCACACGGGAATGGACAGCAAGGTACTGCATGGAAAGGTCATGATGATTACAGTTTAAAATCACAGATAAGTCTGATGAATAATCCCTTAAGACGCATGGACAGACGGAAAGAAACCATATTGGACAACGGATTCTTAGAATACATGAATCCAAATATGTTAATCGAAATAATTATAGCATCTTCAGAGGTCAAACAGTCTAAATAATTAAAAGAGTGCAACAGATTTATTTAGCAGCAAAGTAAGCACCTTCAAACCAATGCAGAAGGTATGTAATTGTGATCCCCACTGACGAGCAGCTTCTGAGTTGGCCAAATGGCGAGAGGCCACAGAAGCAACAAGTGATGAGTCCAGTCCTCCAGACAGAAGCACACCAAAAGGTACATCTGTCATAAGTCTCTTGATTACAGCCTGCATGAAATTGAAAGGAAAAAGAAAGTGTATGGAGTTAAAACCTTAGGATAATTAGCAGGAAAATTGGGGGGGGTGGTGTGTGGGGGTGTGTTGGGTACCCAAAAAAATCCCCTAAACTACCAAATCTTAACCACAATCCAAAGAGCCTGGACCATAATAGCAGTCCACTAGTTCACTGATAGAGAGTAACATGAACTGAACTAGTGCATGATAGCACAAATGGTGCTTGCTTATAGTAACAGTGCCAGAAGCATTTAATTTCACTGCTTGTTTATACATACTGTTTCTCACTAGACACCTGTTTAGAATAACTGATAAAGTTCGTCGAGTATAACTGAATCATGTTATAGAGATAACAATGAAAAGAGCATAGATTAATAAAAAAAAATCATTCGTTCTGCTTTAGAATCAATAACACAGATCAATAAAGAAAGTACAAAAAATTACTAACCCACCCAATCTACAAAAAACAGAAAAAAAAAAAAAAACTGTATGCTGCATATAAAAGGCAGAAGTCACAGTGTTCATACAAGATAACTCACGACTTGGAAAAACAATAACACAGAATGACATACAGATAAGAAAGGTGATGTTTCCACAGAGTTATTCCTGTTCAGTAAAATTTGATGTAACAAAGGCATTAATGTAGACTAAACAAGCATACAAGGACTCCAGAACATACCTTCTCAAACGCTCCTCGTAAAACTAGGGGATCGTATGGGGTTGAAGGTATTTGTTCTGAGTACCACGGTGGGTTGTACCACCTTCTAAGCCCTCCTGCAAGCATGTCAGAAAAATACAAAACATAATGACATTAAAAGCATGAATTTGAAAATTCCACACAAGGATACAAGAAACTGATAAAAAAACACAATAAGAAGAAATGACTCCTTTGACCCTCTAAACCATTACAAATCCAGTATGGCCTAATATTGCACAAACATATTGACTTCCTATTAAGCTTTTGTCTTCCCCTCTTTCTGGAAGTGGCTGGTGAATAAGCAGGGATAAAAGAAATAGAGAGAGAAATTGCTCCCTATTTCATAGGAATAATAATCTTTTACTGAATTTCTGTCCTCCGATGCATTCATGTAACCAAATCTATTATTAATAGTATCAGCGTAAAGTTCATCATGGGCAAGCCAAAAAATTTCCTAGTACTGATAAATGAAAGGTGATTGATCAAAAGGCAATTATATTCAAAAATAACCAGAAAACAGAGTTAAGATTATGAGTGATAACCATGCTCTGAGAACACTTGCAATCAACCTCTAATTTAAAACAAAATACACATCCACCAATCCCAGGATTAATAAATGCAGACCTTGTTTGCTTGAATATATATGCCCCGGCAAGAAAGACATGAATCGTTCACAATCATCACTCAATGCTTTCATCTCCGAAGCAAACCAGACAGATCCTGAAAAATAATTAGTGCTTAATTAGTACAGAAGAAGGCATTTCTTTCATGTAGGGAAAAAGAAAGCAGCATAAAAGTGCAATCTCAACCCATAAATTTTGCAAAGTTGGGTGACCTAACAGAAAAAAATATTTGTATTTGCTTAAACTGAAATAGCACAAATTATATCTAGCAAAAATAAAAACACAAGTAAATAACATGAATATCATGGCACGTGAACCAAAACCTAGGTCCTCTCCTTAAAACCATTTGATTCCATCGGCACATACACACTAAGAGTCTAAGAGTATGTCAATGATTCAGCAATAAGATGGCAAAAAGTTAGATGCATTGGTTCTTCTTTATAATCTTCAAATTCATTTAGGAAGAGACAATGATATAAAGCCCCCTTAGCAATTTACATGGCATGAAATAGCTGATAAAAATAAATATCCCATTCGTTCTAGGCAAGGCATATATTTGCAATTCCATGCTAAAACTGTATTACTTCGATGTGGCTTTGCTCTCTCAATTATTAAGTGTCTCTCTACAATCAGTACTAAAGAATATTACGAAAGAACATCTCCCAAACGTTATTTAGTACTAACCAAAACACATTTGAAGCAAATATATCAAGTCAATCTAACATACCATCTAGACCCCAGCCGATATAAAGTGGGGTAATACCAATAGCATCCCGAGCTGCAATGAAACTTTTGTCACGAGTGTCAAGAAGGACAAATGAGAACATTCCATCCAACATGTCCACAAAATTTTCTCCATGTTCTTCATACTGGAAGAAATAAGTAGCAGAATTATGTTAACCAACTAGAAAAAGGAACAAAAAAATGGAATGGGTAAAAGCTAAAGCCTACTAGACTCCAACTTACATGCTACAGCTCAAAAACAGTAAAGATAAAACAAGGACATGCAGCAAGATTCAAAAGGATAAAGGGGAAAATACATTCAACTGAAGAACCAAACAATTTGATTGACTTTTCAAAAGCAAATATAATAATGTAGCTTATTGTGATTTATGTTATAGGTCATTTTAATAGCCCTAGAGCGTCATCAAATACGGGCAAAAAGTAATCTCTCTACAAAAACTTGAGCACTTACAAGATGAGCAATGACTTCACAGTCACTACCAGTTCGGAAAGTATGAGACTTCAACTGCGCCCTCAATTCCTTATGGTTATATATCTCTCCATTAACCTGAACCAAAAAAAAAAAAAAAAAAATCAATAACCCAATCTCCAAATAGCCTTCATTTGAATCAAGAAATTACTAAAATATATAGATATATATACACCCCAACCATAATTGACCCAACCCAATAATTAAATGCATGAATAAAAATGAAATTTGGCGAAAACCCACAAATGAAATGAGCGTGAAAAAGAGTAAGAAAAAAAGAAGAAAAGAAAAGTAACATACGGTGACCACGACAGTCTTGTCTTGATTGTAAAGAGGCTGATCTCCAGAAGCAGGGTCCACAATAGCCAAACGTTGATGAGCTAGGTAACAACCTTCATGGCAATGCAATCCACTCCAATCTGGTCCTCTATGCCTCAACCTATAGTTAACAGCAACAAGAACAAATTCATCTTTTGAAAGGCAACAATGGAGAAAATGGCGATGGAATGAGAGATTTGATTTGATTTGATTTACCGGCGAGATAATTCTATGATACGGGAACGTTTGGCTTGAGAATTGTCGGAGCAACCAAAAACAGCGAGGATTCCGCACATGGTGAAGGACAGGCGGCTGCTATTTTGATTGGTTTCGTCTGCGTGTGAAGTGTAAGGGAACGATAGAAGGGAAGAGAGACAAGGAGGCTGCTGCTGCTTGCTGAATAAGATGGCTTTATAGTGGAAGCTTTACTTACGGCTTTTGATTCTCTCTGACTGCCATTTTTTTCAAAAGATTCCCCTCTCTTTTTTTATGTTTCGCATTTTTTAAGGGTTGTTCTTTCCTAGTTATGTTGTGGAATCTAACTGTTTTTTTTTTTTTTTTTTTTTTTTTATCATGACAGAAAAAAAATAAAAATAAAAATACTATCTTATTGTTATGGCAATTTTCGAAATATTAAAAAAAATTTCTACATGATTTCGAAAGTGTCAGTTCTTTTTTTAGTTTTATAATTTAGGTACTTTTATGCTTTCTCACACCAAAATTATGATTTTTTTTTTCTTTTGCGAATTTTATATGAGTATTTCGAATCATTTATGAAAAAATCTCCTTGTCTTTCGTTGTATCTCTTTTCTTTTGTTTTTAAGTTTGAAGTTTATCATAATTACATCAAATTAATATAAGTAATTCTTATAAAATATAAATGCAAATAACTTTATTCTTAGTACATGGAAGTTAGATCAAGAATATAATAACTTACTAGAAAATAAAATATTGTTAATATTCATTAATATAAGGAGTCTGATTTTATGCATTCTTCAAAAATAATTAATTGAAGCTTTTTTAAAATAATATTCAAAACACAAGTACAAAAATATATATATATATATATTTTTTGGCTTGTGCTTTTTTGATGTTTCAATTAGAAACAATAATTATTTATTATGGGGTCTATACAGTCAACAGATAATATTTTTTTTTTTTTTTTTACACTCAAATATCCTATGCACACACTTTGGAAAAAACATCCTCCTTAAAAAATCCTTAAAAAATGCAATGCCAAACACACGCCTCAAGATCCTTAAAAAATCTAGAAACTGAAAATTTGAATGCTGAATTAATTGGCATGGATTTGTAGTTTAAGGAACTTCGCGACCTATCATAACCCTGTCAATTAAATTAAAGAAAATTACTAAAAAAAAAAACAATAAAATAAGTGAGGTGTTCATTGTTCCTATCAGTGTTCCTAAATTGTTCACCAAGATTATGTTTACTATGAACCAAGTGTAATAACCTGGAAAAAAAAAAAAAAAAAAAGGGAGAGGGGGTTGGTATAAATAGAAGCAATAACTGCCCCATTTCCAAAATTTTCTTCTCATTTCTCTCCCTCTCTTAAACCGTTTTCTCTCTTCCAAAATTCCTCCCAAATTCTTAATTCAATTCCTAAGCTAATTCTTTGTCAAATTAGCTTAAGAAGATCATAAGTAAGAAGATTCAAGTGAAAATTGGCTAGATTGGAGCATGAGAAGCTTGGAGAACTCGGAAAGAACTTAGGAGTTGAAGGATAAAGTTTAAATGTGAGATTTTTTATTAATTGATCCTTAAATTAGAATGTTTATATATGATTAGTGATGAAATCGAAGTTGAATTGCATTGGGTGTTGTTTGAAAGAGGAATTTGCTAGATTAAGGTTAAGATTCTTGAGATCCATTTGGGAAAAAATTATTCTAAGTGACTATAATGACTTGAATGATGTTTAATTGTCTAGGGTAAGTGATGAAAGAAGTTAATTTGAAATGGATAAGAGTGAATTTGATAAATTAAGAGGTTGAAGATAATGAATAATGATAAATCCTAAAATTAGGAAAAATGATGAATTAAGTTATAAAAGTATAATTAGAGCTAAATGGAATTATTATTGGATGAATTAGGATTGATTGATTAAATATTTGAATTAAAAATTCATGATTTAATTAAGAATTGGTACCGATGGGATTTAGTTAAGTAATGGATTAGGATTATTGGAGACATCATAGATTCTAGTTAAGATTAACGGTTCGAGACTTCCAATCAATTCTATTTTGTTGATCACTTATCTTCTTATTTCAAGAATAATTCATTGTTTTGAATTATTCTTTTATTTATGATATTAATGGATGTTCCATCATTTTGTTATGCTAAATTCCTCGGAGCGGGCGACTCCTTCGCAACAATCTTGATCCGTTCAAATTTATTCGATCCATCGTTTGTACTTGTAAGTGGATATTATATAGCATACCGCATTTTAAATTCCTTGAATTATGTCCGTCATGCATCATTGATTTAAGAATGATTTAGAAGCATTCCATTAGAACCTAGAAAGGAACGGACTCCATGGATTTTGAAATAATTTCGAATCAAAATGATTTGATATGAATGGAAAAAAGAGTTTTGAATGAGTTGGATAAATATGTTATCAAAATTGATATGTGATTTTGAATTTGAATGAATGTGCTATCTTCATTATTTTGAGTATTCATATAATTTCTAAAAATGCATGCACGGTATTTGAAATATTGATTTGAAAAATATATAAGTATCTTTGATTTTTGAAAAATGCTTTCAAGACCCTAAGAAACCTAACTACGGGAGGTGTAGCCTTAGAGCTCAATGATATGAGGCTCCAACTAGTATGAGAGGTATAGCGTTAACTTGTATGTCGACCAACGAGTGAAAACCTAGTCACCGAAAGGCGTGATTTTTAGGTGTTCACACCCAATGGTATGTTATTACCCCATTAATGTATAAAAATCTATATATGAGATTTTGTATGACTTTGATATATGTACATATGAATGATTCAATGATTTGATACGAAATGGTTTTGAATCATTTAAACTTGTAATGTATAATTTGGTTTTATAATGTGTATTGTGTTGAAAAATTAGCATTGAATTTTGACATGGATTTGAGAGTATCATTCTTAATCTGTTTTTCTTCCCTTAGTATGTTATATAATGTCTACTCACCGAGTCGTTGATTGCTCACTCCTTATTATTTTAGTTTTACGGGATATTGATGGATTGCCATTTTGCTTCCTTTTCGTCGCTTGCTTGAAGTTGACACTTTGATTGTGCGACGTATTTCCTTATAAAACTTCTTAAAAACTATGTTTGATTTTTTGTACTTTTAGAAGTTCTACGGTTATAGTTGTAGGTAATGTATTAGGAGTTGATTAAAAATATGAAATTATGAATTGTATTGAGACTCGTAAGAAATGTTTACTAAATTATAATAATGTTAATTGAAATGATACTTGAGTGATATTGATTTGAGAACTAAAATATAAGTTCGATCATGATTTGAGGATTTTAGTTTAGTATCCGAGACTTGTTTGGGTCAAGGTAGGCCTTATGATCCATTTGATTCTCATGCTGGTCATGACCCACTCCCGAGGTCGTGACAAGTATTGGTATCGAGCTTAAGCTTTAGAGTCTAGGATAATTGCAGAGCATGGGTTCTATTCAAATGCATGTTGTTGCTTTGAATTACATGGATCAATCCACTAGTGTGCATTTTAGTCACTATGTTTATAGGCTAGTATTGGGTGTAAGAAATAGGATTTTATCATGCAAAAATCCCTCACATGGCTTACTTAAATTGACATACGGTAATGTCAATTTTTCCCTCAAATCGTGTCTTTTAGCTATCTGTTCGGTGATGTTTCTTTATTCTTTGAACAATTTTATGGTGACATACGGCCTTGTTACTTCGCCTTCAAACCATGTCAATTGCTTCGCCCATATGGCTTTCTTTTCTTCTTTGGATTGCAATCTTTTTGGCTAGACACGGGCATGTTTGATTTGTTGCACAAATCGTGTTGATCTTTCCGCCCATGTCTCTCATTTTGTTAAATATACACATGGGCTTGTTGATTTTTCAAAGAAAATCATGCTTTAACCCTTTTGCTTGTGTCTCTCCTTATGGCTAGAACATGCATGAACATGTCACTTTCTTGCATAAGTCGTGTCTATCCATTATATCGGTGTGACTTCTGAGCTAAAACACGCATGGGTATATCAATTCATTCTTAAAGTCGTGTGTATCTCCTTTTGCTCGTGTGACTTATTGAGCGAGAAAATATGTACGAGTCAAATTGTTTTTCAAGTTGCATGTACCCTCTTCCGCCCGTGTGCTTCTCCATTTTAATTTGATTTTTCATGTTTATTTTGTTTGTTCTTCCTCAACGAGCACATAAATTATAAACTATTGTTTAGCTTGTAAGAAGATGGATGTTGTGTTTGATCATGTATTTGTACTATTTTTTAAAGTATGTTAGATTTGAAAAAAAAATCAATATATTTTTGGATAATTTTAATATGTTGATATATAAAATATTAAAAAATATCAAATTTAATAGTTTTTAATTTAAATGCACGTCTACAAAAGTACATATACAGCATTACCAAATGCATATTAAATTTCGCTTTTAATAGTAATTTAAGCTACCACACACCGGCCACTCGTAGAGATTACAACAATTTCCTTTTTCCCTATTTACTCATACCTCTCTCTCTCTCTCTCTCCTTTCCTTTTTAATAGTAATTTGATTTTTGTCCATATAGAGTGGACGATTATTATTGATCTTTTCTATATAAGAACCAACATCAACGAAGAGCATACCATTCTCGTGGTTCTTTGCCATATTTTCTATTGGATTATTGGTATTAAAACAGCTTGTCTTATTATCTTTTAGATATTTAGACAATAATTTTCATAGTTTCTTGCTTGACTACCTCATTAAAACCCAAAAGATAGATAAAATTGTAAAAGTCCGAGTTTTCAATACATATTGAACAATTAAGGCATCGATGCTATAAAAACCTCTTTCAATAAGGTGTGATTTCACTAGGATCAACCTAGTAGATTTTCATGCTAAAGACTTATTCCCTCAACTCATCTAGGTCATGAGAAATAACATTCACTTGATTGTGGCGAGGGATTTTCTTGCACATCGTCCCGGTTATTAAGAACAATCTTCTTCTTGCTGAGCTTGTCTTGGAATAAAAGCCTCGGGTTGTTAATCACGACTTGAAGATTTGGTCGTATGATAGCTATGACAAGAACTTGAGTATAGATCAAGACAAACCGTCTTTTAGAGGCATTAACAAATTGCCACTATCAATTAAAGAGATTTGAGCATTATTGTCATTCTCATTATTGAGAAGGTTGGTGTTGTTGATATGTTATTAGGATTAGGCAGGATCTAGTTATCATCGTGTACGACCGAGCTGGTTGTGAGATTATTATTCTTCTCGATGGATTAGGAAGGGACCATTGTCTTTCCATAGTCACTAATTTTCTACTAAAGTCCCCAAAATGTGTGAGAAATTCTTGAAAATTGATCAAATGACTAGACGGTAGATCGGTTGAGATGAAGAAAAACTAATGTTATGATTTGTAAAAACAACGATCAATCATGTAAAATAAATACAAGTATGATAAGCGTAGAAAGAAGAGCGAGCAAGTGCTATCAAGATATAAGTCGAGTGGCTAGCATGATGTATTTAGAATCTAAACGGATGAACTTTTAGGAGTTGCGTGGTGTGAGTGAGAGAGTTTTTAAGAGATTAAAAGCTTGAAAAAATGCAAAAAGTTATAAATTTCACGACAATTGTAGTGAGATTGATATTTATAATGAAATGATGATGACTTTTGACCGTTGAAATCGTGTCACATCATCTATATTTGAATAATTACATTTGAGTTTAAAAAAATAATATTTTTAAATTAAACTACTTCAACTTTCTAACAATGACTAAAAGAAGTAATCATTAGGGATTTCTTTAAGGACCCTATTTCAAGCCCACCATACTTATTTTTTTAATGCGTCCCAAAGAAAACATAAAGACACCGGCTCTACTAGAACATCGAGTTCATACATGTGCGGTTCAAATCTTTATGTTAGACGAGATCCATCTTAAGTCCAATTCATTTGTTGTGTAACTTGAACCAATGCACTAATAATAATAACAATAACAACAACAACAATAACATGAATTAACACATAATAAAATTAGCTAAATTATTTAATTAATTTCGAAAAAACCCGATCATATGCAATGTTATTTTAAAAAAAGGTAAAATAATTGAAATCTCTCACAATTTTTTCCACTCGTAGTTTATTTTATTTTATTTTATTTTGTTTCATCTTCACTTTCACGAACGAAGATATCAATCCATTTACTTCATTTTCTTTTCTTCCTCGTTTTTATTTCCAAACACATTGTTAAGGGGAGATCTTGAATCTCGTAAAAGGAACTTTTATTTGGGATGATTGTAGGATTTCATAGGTTTTCATATTAGCAACTTCCATGGCGTGTTGTTTCCAAGCTTTCAAGGTTTTTTTTTTCAATGAAAAATTAACGTGACATTGACAAAATTTATTTATTTATTTTTATAATAAATAGAAAGATAAGTAGGGTATTTTACATTCTCCAATAGAAAACATTGTGTTTATAGAACACTATCTTTTTACATGAAATATCTTTTACAATATCTATATTAGAACTAAAGTTTGAATATTTTTTTTAAAGTAGCTACAATTATGCATGGAAACGTAGATGTAACACTAATTATAGACTGTGGAAAGTAAGTTTTTAAATTCTCAATCTTATAGATTAGCGCTTTATAAAAAGCTCGTTTATTGCCATACCAACTCGTTGTTGGCTCAGTGACAAAATCTACGAAAAGTGTAAATTATTCCCCAAATTTTTAGTGAGATCACAATTGAGCTTGGAAATTTTATTTCATTTGGTTTTGGCTATCACCACAATAATACGGATATGCAGCCAATATGACGTACGTTATTACGTATAAAATCTTTTTTTTTAATATAAGCTTTAGAGATTTATTTTTTCCTAAAGCTTTATTTATTTTTTTTTTAAAAAACTATGTTACTGCTGTGTAGGATTATATTAAATTTCAAGTATTTTTTCTAGGAGATTTATCTCAATTTTGGTGCTGCCATGAAGAATATGTGTGGTTTTTTTTGGTTTATAATATATAGATCAATAATAAGTTACTATTTTTTTAAAATAAAATTAATTATACAAGTATTATTGTAAAATACAAACTCCTATGTACAAATAATTCTACTAATTAGTTGATCACCTATTTGGATCCACTTAATAAAAACCTAAAAAACACACATACACACATATCTAGTTTTAAATTTCGTGTTCTGAAAATAAAAAACATAGCAGAATTTCACTAATTTTTAAATTTTGTCTATTTATTTTATAATATTTTATTTATTTATTTTTAGATGTCATCGTGTCAGTCAGTGCATTTTAGTATATGATAAATAAATGAGATAAATAGTCTTATGAAAATTTGCCTATTGAAATGCAAATGCTAACAGGCGGCAGGTATAATTAGAATTGTTAAAGGGTCAAGCTTCGATCGGATTATAGTAAATTGGAATTTGATTTGTTTAATAAAATACATCTAATCGAATTTTATGAATTCGAATAAGGTTTTTAAAATGTAAATTTGTATTTGTATTTTAATGGATATGAATTGGATTCAAAACTCTATCGAATTTATTATTTGGTTTTTATAAAAAAATTATGCTTACTATATTTAAGATATTGATTGAATATAAAGTATAGTTCAACCATTGCATGTATGCTAAAATATGTTAAGCTAATATTTCATCTATCAATTTCGTAAAAAATTCAAAATGTCACACAATTCAAAAGCATAATATCAAATAATCTTAATAAATGTTTGTCTTAAATCACATAGAAAGTATGATAAAACTAAAAAAATAAAAATTATATATTTTTTATTTCTTGTATACGTGGTAGCAAAAATAGGGTGATGAAAAATATAATAACATTAATTCTTCAAAAAGTATACAAGTCAATTTATAATTTTTTTAACCAAATTTACTTAAGAAAATGATAAAAAATTTATATGTGATTTTTTAAAAATACAATTATTACTCTAAAAAAAATATGCATTATTTGAATTTTATAATAAATAAACTCTAAATTTCAACATAGTTTCACACACATACACACACATATATATATTTAAAAAATATTATATTTATTATGAAAATATTATTTTTAATTTCAATCAAATTAGATCAATATATATTTGGATTTGATCTATTTAATAAATAGGTTAACAGATTTGCATCATAATTAGATTCCAATAAACCTAATTTATGTAATTATATTGAATTCGAATGGAACATTCAATCCATTTATGGCCTTTCTAGTGACATTCACAAAGAGTATTAAATGAAATGTGGATGTGATATTAAAGAGTTTGTAGTTTAATGATACTGATATTTTACAACAGGAAATCACATATTTAAATTTTAATAGATTAATTATATTAGAAGTTTTGGTTGCATGAGCTTAAAAAAAAAAAAACGTAGATGCGACGACGTAAGAATAAAACGCTCTCGTAAAAGGGTTTTCTTTTTTTTAAAAAAAAAAGGGAAAGGGGAAGGAACTAGGAAGGAAGGGATCATGCTTCTGTTGCTGGCAGCAAAAGAAAAAGCAACAGATAAAGAAAAGTAAGAAAACAGAGAGTCAGTCCAAGTCTAACAGAAGGTCGCCTCTCGCCAAAAATGGCGACGACGAAGCGGAAAGGTGGAACCTCCGGGTCCGAGAGAACGAACCCAAGGGTTTGGCTATACTCCATTTTGCTCGCCTTTCAATACGGAGCTCAGCCTCTCATCTCCAAACGCTTCACCAGGTACTTTCCTTTCTTTTTCCTTCCCTTCCCTTCCCTTCGAATTCCAATTTCCAACGCCTCTTCCATTCCTTTTTCTTCGCTTGTTCGATTTTGTCTCCTTCGCATTGATTATTTTCTCTTTGAATTTCATCAATTCATTTCGATTTGTTTTTTCCATGTGATTTTGGTATTAGAATTCGATTCTCTTTCATTCTCGAATGAATTTGAAATTAAATGTTGCTTGATTTCTTAAATCATGTTTCAATTTCCGAATTCCGATACCCATACGTTGTGATTTTAATCTAATTTAATTACAAAACGAGTTGGTTATGTTGGTCATCTCTTTATGCGTTTGCTTTTGTTCTTAACTTACTGATTTCAACGGGCTTGTGGCCTGGAAAATCTTTGAAATTGTGCACATTCTGGCTCTTTTGACTTCTTAAGCTACCCCAAAGCTTTAATGGATCCAATAAATGGAATTTATTACGATCTTCTTTGTATCCGTACATGTTAGCAAATGTTATTGGCATGTATTTTCTGTGAAATGGTAGTCGCTAATTAATTGAGTTTCATGCAGACCTGAAGTAATTGTGACTACATCTGTTTTGACATGCGAGATAGCTAAGGTAATTCATGTTCCGAGTACATGAATTTTGTTTTCCTGTCTTCTTTGAATTTTTTGTTGATGTTCAAGCACAAAAGGATGATCTACTCGTTTCTTTTATGTTCTTCAGGTTACATGTGCCCTGATTCTCATGGTAAGAGATGGCAGCTTGAAGAAAGTGTTCAGTCAGTGGACTCTGGTTGGTTCATTGACTGCATCAGGACTTCCTGCAGCTATTTATGCGCTGCAAAACAGCTTGCTGCAGATATCTTACAAGAATCTTGATTCACTCACATTTTCGATATTGAACCAGACAAAAATATTTTTTACTGCATTTTTTACATACATAATATTGAGGTATGCTCTTAATTTTCTTTTCTTTTTTGATCCATTGTTCATCTCTCTTGAACTGTATTATTAAGCATGCAACGATGGTTCTCAATGTCCAAGCAATTAATATCTCATAAAACCTAGAAACTATTTCTTGTTTAGGTTTATTTTAATCTTGGCTCTTGATACTGTGCTATGCTTCCGCTTGATAACTGTCTCACTGGTTTGAAACTTACCGATCTATTTTCAAATGAGTTCATTACAGATTGACATCCTGCAGTGGCTCATTAGTTAGTGTTAGCAAGGCTTGAAGTTGTGATCTACGTATCCCTGTCAGTTTACGTCTTTAGTAGACTTTCATCTCTTGTTCTTCATGGTCTAATAATTCTTGACATATCATGCCAACTAAGCTGGTATTTAAAGTCATCTTCTATCAGGAAGCTACTATATGATGACCTTCTCTTTGGATGTTTTTTTTGAGTATGTGACCTCTTTTAATAAGCCAACAGCTTTAATTGTAATGTGGCTGAACAACATCCAGGCCGTAGACCATGAGAACCACATACATGTATGTGAAACTAGGTATGATAAATTGTAGGGTGGTATTGGAAACTCCTTTTACATTATTCTCTGGTGGGAATGTGCAGGCAGAAGCAATCAATTCAACAAATTGGGGCTTTGCTGTTGCTGATAATGGCAGCTGTTCTTCTAAGTATCGGTGAAGGCTCTAGCAAAGGCTCTAGTAGTAATGACCCTGAGCAAATTTTATTTTATGGGATCATTCCTGTCCTGGTTGCTTCTATTCTCTCTGGTCTAGCTTCAGCTTTGTGCCAATGGGCTTCTCAGGTTTGAAATCTTGTATTTGAATGACCTTACCAGTGTTGTTTATTCTCAACCCTTCCAATGCTATTTCCCTTCATTTCAGGTTAAGAAACACTCGTCATACTTGATGACTGTAGAAATGTCAATTGTTGGAAGCTTGTGCTTGTTGGCCAGTACCACTAAGTCTCCAGATGGAGAAGCTATCAGACGGCATGGATACTTTTATGGTTGGACTCCACTAACTATGGTAATGACCTTACACATAATGCATTTTTTCTCGAAAATAACAATCTCACACTTGGCAAAGTAGTCAAGTGACAAAGGGTTGGAGTTAGAGAAGGATTGGTGGAAGTTTTCAATTTCAATTTTGCCTTGAAATAGAAAACAACTCCAATTGGTTTGTGGTTCTTGTTTTTCTGTTGAAGTAGTTCTCTTGCTGTATTGAGAATACTGTAGCATCAGGTGGTCCTACGGACTGGAGAATTTGTCTATAGATCATACAGTCTTTTCCCTCTGTTTACATCTTTTACGCTGACCCAAATATAGCTAGATGGTGAAGCTCATCCATACCAGGCAGCTGTTAGTGTTAGGATATCTGCCTGGAGTTGGAATCCTTTGGGTTTGCTTGCAATCTGCTGTCACTCAGTATTTTCCTTTCAGAGACAAAATTTTGCTTGTTGTCCTTCTGGTTATGCATCAACCCTTCAGACTTTTCTTCTTCTCCTGGTTACTCAAGGAACTATTGTTTGAGGGTTAGTCATTCTGTGAGCTGTTAAAAGTGTCTTTTTAATAATATAGTTTGAGGGTTACAACTTACAAGTGCATCTTTCATTGCATAATGCTTCGGATTGGTGAAATTTATCTTCATTATTTATTTGAAGTATTTTTATTTTGAAACATGATGCATTGGGAATCTGTGAGACTTTACATTGATTGTTGAGGTTGTTGAGGTGTAGAAGAAGAGCTAGTCACTAATTTATCCAATGAGAATGTGTTTAAATTGTGGTACATTTGAGTCAAAAAGCAGATTTGAAGTATCTTGTTGCTTTTTTGGGCTCATGATATTAGCATCCCAATGACATTCAAAAACATGTTTTTGCTTTTTTTTGTTTTTTTTTTTAAAAACTCAATCTCAAACAAAGCTGAATGGACAGATGCATTGGGTGGGGTGTTCTGAGTTGATAGAGTGTGGATGTGAGGGGTATTTTGGTTTAAGAGTAGTTGTGAGTTGATATAATGTATATGTGAGGTTTTTTCATTCCTCCAGCTTCTTCTTGTAGAGCGTCAGAGTATTGCATTCTGAGTTTATGGAGCCAATAATATATTGTCAGTTATCCCAGGGAAAACATTTTCAATTTTCCTTCAGATGCCATTCCTGCTAACAGCTTTATCATGTGTTGTTTAACATTGGAAAGTTATGTATTCTTATGTTTCAGATCCCAGTTCTAGCCAATGCTCTTGGTGGAATTCTTGTAGGCCTTGTCACAACCTATGCTGGTGGCGTGAGAAAGGTAAATGCAACAGTGTTAAATTTTTATCAGATAATGGTAGCCAACTTTAAAGATATGGCTCGGAGTTTCCTCAATTATGAGTTATTATGACAGCTTTTTATCTCCACAAAATCTTCTTGATGCATGCAGGGGTTTGTTATTGTTTCTGCACTTCTTGTAACGGCCTTACTTCAGTTCATGTTTGAAGGGAAACCACCGTCAGTGTACTGTCTTGTGGCTCTTCCACTCGTCATGACCAGCATTTCAATATACCAGAAATATCCATATCGGGTTAAAAAGAAGGAATCATAATTACATTGACAACAGAAGGGAAATCATTGAAGTGGCCACATTAGATAGAGGTTTCTTTTGGTTTAAAATTTAGGCATCCCAAGTTGCAGATGGAGAAAGTACTGGAATTTTTGAGAAGTTTCTCCATAGCTACCAGATAAGTAGACAAGGGCACCAAGAAGCAGTGTATTGTTTTTTCTCTCTGTCCAACCCACACCCCCTAAAAAAAAAAAAAAAAAATTTGAATGCAGTTTTCATTCGAAAACATTTGAATTCAATACTGATTTGCAAAAGGAAGAAAACAGGGTATTGATTTGATTTGGGATCCTTTTGACTTTGAGCTATGGATTTGAAGCCCTTCTTCAACATGAATATTCTTGTTGCAAGTGTGAATTTGAATTTTTTTTTTTTTTTTTTTAATATCTCATACACCGTGATTTTGGTAAGAACGTGAAATAGACCACTAACGTTGAGCTTGTGGGTTACAAGCTCTTTGGTAAATGCAAATTTGATACGAACGGAATTTTATGTAGAACAAAGCCCATGCAAAGATGTATCCCCTCTCTCTTTCTCTGTCGTAGAAAGGCAACTTTGATTTATAAGTTCTATGGTTAACATTGTTTTTTGTTAGGATCACAAATTTCTGCTAATGGACTCTTCCCTTGCAATGGTGGTGGAAGTCCAAATGCAGTTCTAGAAAGTGAGAATGAAATAAAATTATAAAGGATGAATGTACAAACTAGCACCTTTGCAGGGGCGTGACTGACAAATCAATCCTTCTACTGTAGTAATGGGAAAGATGAACCTATTGTTGAATACAATTTCTATTGATACGATATGAGAATTTCTTTAACCAAATGGTCAAAGAATGCTTTTTTATATGATACTAAAATCCTTTTAATTAAATAGTCCAAAGTTCACCATTTACCCTATCTCCCATCTTCTAAAACAACATTTTGTATTGCAATTGGATCTCCTTTTGCCAAATTATAGCTTTCAAAATTGTTTTGTTCTAAAAAAGCGTGTGGCTCCCTCTAAATCTTTGAAATAAGCAACAATTTAATGGTTTTTTTTTTGGACATTAAGTGGAGAGATAACATAAAGTCATTACAAACCTTTGTTAAAAATAACTATGTTTTCATCTACAACATACCTTAACCAAATAAGTTTTTACTCGTCTCGTTTTTTGATATATATTTTTTATAGAATCGATGCACCTAGCATAATCGAATATGAGTATCAAATTATTTTTAAATTATCGAATATTTTATATAAGCATGCATTCCGATGCAACCCTTTTGCAGAGATTAAGAACCCAGATGCGGATTAAGAGAATAAAGGAAAGGAAAGAAAGGGAGATAAGGAAGAAAGAAACAAGAGGAAGAGGTTGTAGAATAATCTTCATGATTGTTCGGTATTCATCATTCATGTCTTATAGTAAAATTGATAACGTGACTTGTGACAAACTATGCAAGCTTAGAATATTCTAACAAACTCCTAATGATTATTATTTTTCACACAAAATCCATTAACTTTGCTCGGCCTCCGGATGCTTCTCTTGCTCTTTCGGGCTCTCGTATTCGTCGGACCTTCTTGGATGGTATTTGGGCTTGTATCATTACCCTCCCCTCCAAATTTACCATGTCCTTAAGGTGAAAATCGAGAAAATCATGTTTTAGGTTTGCAACTAATTCCCAAATAAGCATCGGAGGTCTGGTTGAAATTCCTATTAGAACAACACTTGTGGAATAGAAGAACCTTGTTGAAGGATCCGTCGATAACCGAGAATGTTGACGAGTTGTAGCAGAGGGTGCCGATCAACAAAATCAAGTGGTAAGGGAGTAACTCGCGACTTGGGGTCACTAACATAGCATTTGAGTTTAGAAACATGAAATACATTATGGATCCGAGTTGAACGAGGATAGCTAGGCAATAAGCAACAAGTCCTATCTTTTGGGTGATCTAAAAAGGGCCAAAGAACTAATGAGATAACTTGTGGGATTAGAGGTGGGCTAAGGAGGATTGGAGGTATAGCTATAATTTAAAGAAGACCCAATCATCAACATTAAAGTCGACATCCATACGCCTTGAATTTGCTTGATTCCGTATGTGATTTTGTGATTTGAGCAAATTATCTCATAAGGTAGCTAGCACATGGGTGCGAGATTGTAATAATTCATCATCCGAGGCTACTAAGGAGGAACCAGCCACATAATTAAACAGAGAAGGTAGTGGTCGACCATAGACAACTTCAAAGGATGTCATTTTAATTACCGAGTGCTAAAAGGTATTATAATGCCATTCAACCTAGGAAAGAAATTGCAGCCAATGTCGGGGATGATCAGCAACAAAGCACCCGAGATAATCTTCCAAGCAACGGTTTAATAACTCGTTTGATCGTCCGTTTGAGGATGGTAGGATTTGCTCATTGCTAAAGATGTGCCTTGAGCTTGAACAACTCATGACAAAATTTACTCATAAATAAAGGATTGCGATCGAAATGATAGTGGTAGGAACCCCGTGTAATCGAATAATATCTCAAATAAATACTTCGACGACTCGTGGAGTCGTAAAATGAGTGGTCATAGTTGAAAATGACCTTGTTTAGATAAGCGATTCACCACCACTAAAACCGTTGTCTTGTCGAAGGATGACATCAATTGTGTGATAAAATCCATGAAAATTGAGTCTCATATTTTTCGAAGGCCTTGAAGGATTGTATTAAAGGGTTTAACAACTTGGTATACTTTATATTAAGCGATAAACTCACACAGGATCGGTAAAGACTATGCCAATAGAAGGTACTAGCAATCCAAGCCATGTCTATTGCATATCAGTATAACCTTCAGAGGTGAGTTATGAAATTCTACAAGAATGAGGAGCTAGAATGCGGACTCTAGAGGGATAAAAACTCATCTCGTATGAAACAATAAATCATCTTTAACTCGTGCGAGTGAAGTGAGGGTGATCGACTGGACTACTCCGAATGGATTGCATCATGGAATTGGTAAAATTGCTTGAGTGCATCCTACAAAGCTAGAACTGGTTGGGAGGCTAGAGCATGAAGAGAAGTCGTGGGTAGTTAAAGGAGAGTATCGACTCGGGTCGTTTTATGCTCGGGCTAATACATTATGTCGAAGTCATAGCCAAAGAGTTTGGTTAGCCATTTCGTTGTTCCGAGGTTTGGATGGTTTGATGCAACAATGATCGAAGACTTTGGTAATCAATTTGGATTATGAATCAATGCCCCAAGAGGTACTCGTCTCCACTTTCAAATGCTTCAATGATTGCAAACATTTCTCTAGCATAAGGTTGAAAAAGATTATATGCAAGGAGACATTTGTTTGCCGAAATAAGCTATCGGATGCCTTTACTATGATATAACCGCCTCAATTCCAATTCTTAAAGCATCGATCCGAATGATAAAATGCATTGCAAAATTAGGCAAGGCTAATACTAGATTATATACAAGAGCTTTTTGTAAGGTGTGGAAAGTAGTAGTGGCAACGAAAGGTCCGGAAAAAGGCATTTTTCCTCAATAGATCGATCAATGGGGAGGCTATGCTTGCATACTTTTGCACAACCGGCGTTAGTATCTTGTAAGACCAAGGAACCCTCACAAACTTTTCAAAGAATTTGGTAAGGGCCATTGCTGAATCTCTACAATCTTATTATGATCCATAAAAACACCTTAGCCTAAAATCTTGTGTCCTAGATAACTAATTTTAGAACGACCAAACTCACATTTGGACATTTTAACGAACAAGTTCCGAGACCGTAAAAGAGCAAAGACTGTTACAAGTACTTCAAATGAGAGTCTCAAGTGAAGTCGTAAATCAATATGTCGTAAAAAAAATAAGGAAAAATTTATGCAAAACTTCTCTAAAAGCCGAGTTCATGAAAGCTTGAAAAATCGAATAAGCGTTCAAAAGTCCGAACGACATTACTAGGAATTTGTAATTCCCTTCATGTTTTTAGAAAGTAGACTTATCAACATCGACTCGGATGAATCTTGACTTGGTGGTTACCTATAAGTCCAGCTTGGAGAAAGCCTATGCACAAAACCCGTGCATCATGGGTTTCATCAAGTAACTCATCTATTGTGAGAATTGAAAATAGGTCTTTGCTAGTCACCGTTTTCGCAGCCCCGTAATCAACACGAAGTATCATGATCCGTCCTTCTTCTTAATCAATAGGATATATGAAGAGAAAAGACTAGTGTTTAGATGAATTATCCCCTCGCAAAGCATCTCCCTTACAAGTTTTTCAACCTCTAACTTTTAAAAATATGGGTATCGGTATGGTTTGATGTTGATTGGAGAGGTTCCAAGTTTAAGGGGAATTCGATGGTCCAGGTGTTCTTGGAGGTGAAAGACTCATGGGTGTAGAAAAAATGAAAGAGAACCGAGTCAATAAGGACTTGAGTGAGGCGATGAATGAAGGAGGAGCACCAAGGTTAATCGAGGATCGCGTATCGAGGGAGATAGTATCAATGGAAAGGTGAAAATATTGGGCAACGGTATTAATCTTGTGGTAACAGTTTAAGGGGCCAGTGGAAATATGGGTAAATGAGGGCTACCGCAATCCTTGAAAATGGACTTGTTTGCCTTGATGGGTAAATTCCATTCACGGGGCTTTGTGATCAAATAGAGTTGGCCCCAATTCAACCAACCATTGGACCCCTAAGTACAATGTCGGCCTCATATATGGATAATAACATTAGGTCTATTATAAATAAGGCCCGGTTCAGCTTGAGTGGAATATGAAGGTAAGAACCCACATAACCTAGTGAGTCCCCATTTCCTACGAGTCACCTTCAAATATGGAGAAGGTTGAATCGAAGTCCCGGAGGAGTTGCTAATCTTGTTTGCATAAAATTATTAGTAGAGCCTCCATTTATGAGGACCATAACCGGATGACCATTAATAGATCCGATAAGTTTTAGAGTAGAGGGCACGATTTGTCAAGTGAAGGCATGTAAAGAGATCCTTGGCATCTCTTAAGGATCAAGATCAAGATCTTAAGAAAGAAGAGCTTCAATCGGCTATGGGGCGATCGAGTTGGCCTCGATAGTGGCCTCTTCATCAACATCGGCTATGAGGTATAAGAACCATGGATATTTACACCAATGCCTGTGTACGAATTTTGCATCGTAATTAAAATATAGTCCCTTTTCTCATGGGTCGTCATCTCGATTGGAGAGAGCCTTTTGATGAGAAAGGAAGGAAGATAGTGGGTTAGGGTCTGTTACGAGTGTGTTTGTATGTGTTGGTGTGGTGGTAGGTTTTGTGAATGGTGGTCGGTGAGATTAGGTTTTGGCAACATTTCACTTATCTTCCACTAGCTTTGCCATACCCATCGCATCATAAAGCAATTGAGGCTTGAGCAAGTATAACTCTATTTGGATTTCATCCTTTAGGCTAGAGAGGAAGCAGCTTAGGAGATTAGAGTTGGTTAGGCTATTGGTGCGAGTGGAGAGGGATTCAAACTCACCGAGGTAAGCTGAAATGGTAGAGTGTTGCTTGAGTTTGTAGAGTTGGGCTTCGAGATTGAGGAATGAGGAGAGCCCAAATCTCAATTCAAGTCGACGGATAAAGGCTTCCCAGTGGTCGGTTAGGTCGAGGAATACATCCAATGGTACCATTGGAGAGTCGTGCTTGGTCATGTAAAAGGATGTTATGGTTAGTTTTTTGCCATTTAGGGTGTTGTGGTATGCAAAGAAATATTCTATTTGAAAGATCCACTCGGGGACATTTTCACTCGCAAACAGAGGTATCTCCAATCCGAGTAGGTGTGTAGCTAGTTGTTATGGCCTCGCTGTGTGTTTGATGAATGGTTTATGTGTGGGTTGCTTGCTTGTGTTTGGTGGGGTATGAGATATATATAGGTTATGATGTGTAGGGGTGGGGGGACGATGTGGGTAATGATAGTAGAGGAGGTTGGATTGGGCTTTTCTCTAAGTTTGCCAACTTAAACATCATGTCATCCATGACAGTTTGTTGTGATGTCATTGATTTTTGAATCATTTTGAAAGTATTTGAATGTTGTTGCACGAGTAGAGCGAGTGAATCCCATTTAGAGAGGGTGGAGTCATGGTGGGTCAACTGGTCCATAATTTTTGTCACTCGTTCGTCTATTGCCTTTCATGATGTTGTCATTCCTTCGATAATTGTTCATCTCACAACGAAAGCACCAATGATGTAACCCCTTTTGCAGAGATTAAGAACCTAATACTGATTAAGAGAATAAAGGGAAGGAAAAAAAGAGAGAGAAGGAAGAAAGAAACAAAAAGAAAAGGTTGGAGAATAATCTTTATGATCGTTCGTATTCATCATTCATGTCTTATAGTAAAATTAATAACGGACTTGTAACAAACTATGCTAGCTCAAAATATTCTAACAAACTCCTAATAATTATTATTCTTTACAAAAAATTCGTTAACTTTGCTAGCCTCCGGATGCTTCTCTTGCTCCTTCGGGCTCCCGTATTCGTCGAACCTTCTTGGATGGTATTTGAGCTTGCATCACATTCTTTTTTTTTTTTTTGAAGATATCTTTCAATGATCTATTCTTAAATTATTTTGATGTCTTCCAAGCATTCTAACGACCAAGCTAAATCAAGAGGAGGGCGTGTTTTCCAATGGTAGATGCGTAAGGGAATATTTTGCACATGTTTCTTTTCAATTTCATTTTAAAACCTACCAAGAACCTCATGGATAAATACTCCTTAAGCAAAAATGCTTTTTAGACACATCAAGTGGTTAACTCAAGGCATGCCTAGTGGCCCCCATAGAAAGGAGGGCCCCGATTAAAATTTTACCCTAAACCTACACCCTAAAAGAATGAGATAAATTAAAAGTTACAGACCTCCACTTTTACTTATAGAAAATTTTTAGAAAAATATTTATGAGTGAAATAATTTTTAGATCTCTAAATTTTTTTATTATATTCCTTTCTTTCTCTAAACAATCGAGGATCTCTTATAAAACCTTTTCTAATTAGCTTGCGTAAAAATCGAAGGTAATTTTTTAATTTATGCAAATAAAATTATGTATATAAATCATATAATATTTTATTTTTTTCTCAAATTTCTTTTTATTTTCTCGGGTGATTCTCTCCGGGTTTACTTGATTAGGCGTGGCAAGCAAATATAATCGAGTGCCAAAGTTTCTTATTTTTTTTATAATTATATTTTAATTTTATTATTTGAATAAAATGTCTACTAGAAAGTATGAATCTGGATATGAAAAACGTAAGAAAAAAAGAAAGGTAGAAGAACTAATTCATCCCAAAAAGGTGCACTTGATAGATTTGTTACTAATATTAAACCTCAAATACTAGAAGAACAAGATAAAGATTTAAATGAAAATATAGTTGAAAATTGTGAAGAGAAATTTAAAGATAACAATTCAAATTCACCAAAAAGTAATGAAGAATATAATGAAAATTTAGAAGATGATGTTTCAATCAATTAAAGTGAAAATATTAATGATGAAGATGCAATAATAATTAAAAATATTTACGATCCGACACAATGGAAAAATTTAGACTCAAAACTGATTGATTTATTAGTTGAGAAAGGTCCAATTAGAGAAATTTTAGATTTTTCAAAAGATAAAAACTCTAGACATTTTTCTACGATTCATTACATTCAAAAATTACCAAATGAAAAAAAAACATGATAGAAAATGGCTAGTATATTCAAAAGAGTTAGATAAAGTGTTTTGTTATTGTTGTAAATTATTTAGTTTGAAATCAAATATTCAATTAGCAAATGAAGGGTGTGGAGATTGGAAAAATCTTAGTGCCAAACTTAAAAGTCATGAGACAAGTAATGAACATGCTATTAATATGAACATTTGGGTTGATGCTCGGATGAGATTGCTTAAAAACAAAACAATTGATAAGCATTTACAAGAAAAAATAAATAAAGAGAAAGAGCATTGGAGGAATGTATTATTAAGAATTATTGATGTTGTAAAAGCTCTTTCAAAAAATAATTTGGCATTTCGTGGTACAAATGAGAAGATTTATCGGGACAATAATGAAAATTTTTTGAGTTTAATTGAAATGATTGCTTGAGTTTGACCCAATAATGCAAGAACACCTTAGACGTATTCAAAATGGAGATATTCATATGCATTATCTTGGTCATAATATACAAAATGAGTTGATAAATATTTTAGCATTAGAAATAAGAAATACCATTATCGGAAAAATCAAAGAATCAAAATATTTTTCAGTTATACTTGATTGTACTCTAGATGCAAGTCATCAAGAACATATGTCTCTTATATTAAGATGTGTAGATATTTCGATAATTTCAATAAAAATAGAAGAGTATTTTATAGATTTTTTAAAAGTGGATGATACCTCTAGTGAAAGTCTTTTTAATGAACTTACGAGTAAGATAAAAACTCTTGAACTTGACGTAAATGGTGTGAGAGGGCAAGGATATGATAATGGGTCTAATATGAAAGGTAAACATCAAGGTGTACAAAAAAGATTATTAGATATAAGTTCTAAAGCATTTTATACACCATGTGGTCATCACAATCTTAATTTAGTTCCTTGTGATATAGCTAATTCATGTGTTAGTGCTATGACATTTTTTGGAGTGACACAACGTATATATTTATTATTTTCTTCTTCTACAAAAAGATGAAAAATTTTGCAAGATCATGTTTCTAATTTGACACACTTAAGCCATTATCACAAACATGTTGGGAAAGTCGTATTGAAAGTGTAAAAGCAATTAGATTTCAAGCTCAACAAATAAGAGATGCTTTATATCAATTAGCGAAAACTAGTGAGGATCATAAAACAAAAAATGAAGCTATTTCTTTAGCAACATATGAGATTGAAAATTTTGAATTTCTATTAGGCATGATTATTTGGTATGATATGTTGTTTGCTATTAATACGGTTAGTAAATATTTACAATCTAAAGATATGGATATTGCTCTTGCAATAGACCATTTAAAAGGTCTTATTTCTTTTTTTACAAGCTATAGAGAAAATGGGTTTACATCTTTATGATCTTGGCTAAGGAAATTGCAGAGCAAATGAATATAGAACCAAAATTTCGTGAAAAGCGTATAATAAGAAGAAAGAAACAATTTGATGAGATTGAAAATGAAGACATGAAATTATCTATTGAAGAATCTTTTAGAATTAATTATTTTACATATTTAGTTGATCATGCGATTTCCTCTCTTCAAAATAAGTTTGAACAATTTAAAATATATGAAGATAATTTTAGTTTTCTTTATAGTGTAGAAAAATTAAAATCACTCAATGATGATAGTTTGAAAAAAAATTGTTTAAATCTTGAAAACTTTCTAAAGCACGATATGCTTTCCGATATTGATGATTTAGATTTATTTTCAGAATTAAAAGTTTTAAAAGAAATTATAACTATGGAAATGAAAACACCACTTGCCGTACTAAATTTTATAAAAAAAAGGTAAATTATTTTTCAAATGCATGGATAGCATATAGAATACTATTAACTATCCTTATTATCGTAGCTTCGACTGAAAGAAGTTTTTCAAAATTAAAATTAATAAAATCTTATTTACATTCAACTATGTCACAAGAAAGATTAAGTAATTTGGCTATATTATCAATTAAAAAAGATTTGCTTTGTAAACTTGAATACAAAAATTTAATTAGAGATTTTGCATCTCAAAAAGCAAGAAAAATAAAATTTAAATAATGTTTAATATTCATTTGTTTTAAGAAAGAGTCTCTAAAATATTATTTTGCCTAGGACCACATATATCATAGAGCCAGCCCTGGACACATCAAGACACATTTCAGTTCTAAACAAATAAGATACATTTCATATGTCCATAGTTTAAAAGTATTTTTTTTTTTAAAAAAAAAACCTTTTTAGTTTCATGCAAGAGACCAAAATCATTACTAGCAAATAATATATCTCCATAAATAAAATAAAAAGATTTAAACTTGCTCCTACGATTCTTCAAATTACACACACACACACGCACGAAGGCAACTAAACCAATAATCTCTCGTCATGGATATTTGTTCTGTTAGATTAATGATTTAGAGCTGAGCATTACGGGCCTAAACACAACCCAAACAAGGTTTAAAACAATGGGCATGCGTCCAGCCCAAATCCAGCAGCAGCATCACCACTCCCACCACGAACCCAGAAACACCCATAAACCCTCCTGCTCAGCCAGTAGCGTCAACACTCTGTTTTTCATTTCATCAGAAAAGAGAAGAAAGAGAGAGCAAAGAAAAATGGCAGGCAGATTGGGAAGAAGAGTAATCAACTTCGCAAACCTTCCAATAAAACTCCTAATGCCAACAACATGCACAAACATTACCGAAATCGCACTGAAAACAATCCCTTCAGCTTCCAAAATCGAAATCAAGCGCGTCCTCGAATCACTCTACGGCTTCGAAGTCGAAAAGGTGCGCACTCTTAACATGGAAGGGAAAAAGAAAAAACGAGGCGGATTACTCCTCGCCAAGCCTGACTATAAAAAAGCATACGTCACGCTTAGAAATTCGCTCTCGATTTCGCCCAATTTGTTTCCGATCGGAATTATTGAGGAAGAGAGGGAGAGAATGAGTAAGAAGAAACCGGAGAGTAGTTTTGTTGACGATAATAGAATTCACTGGCTTGATGAGAAGAAGAAGTTGACTGGTGGTAGTGGCGGTGCTGGTGGATGGCGTGGCATTCGCGGTGATCGTGGCGGTCGCAGTGATCGCGGTCGCGGTCGTGGTGATGTGGTGGCGGAGAAGGCTAAGTTTCCTTGGAGCAGCATGAGGGGTGCTGCTGCTAATTCTAGGTAGTGTTGTTGTTTTTTGGATTTTTTATTTTTATTTTTTATAAATGAGAAATGTTGGCTTAATTTTGGTAAATTAGGGCTTATTTGTGTTGGATTTTATTAGACTTATTTTGATTGGTACTGCTTGGATATTATATAAAATGATAATAAGAAAGTTTTTATATCGATGGTAATTATCATAGTTCCAAATTGTTGTTTGAAAGGTTACGATTTGCGTGCTCTGTCGAGTGCTAGTGCAAAACAAGGTTGTTTGACAGTTGAGTTTTGTTGAAACAAAGTTGGTTTTTGAATTCTGGATTTGATAATGGCTTTAGTGGGTGGGGATAGTGGAACCCCTATACGATTGTTAGGACCGAGGCTGCTGTAATTACTGAAATTTATTCTATTCTTGGCAAACTTTTTAACATTGGATGAAACCATAATTTAGTTGATTATCTGCTATAACAAGCAAGATGCACAAAAACATTTTTTACAGGTGAACTTACCATGAGAAAACAGTGTAATTGATAAGAAACAAGAAATTTTTTTTTTTTGGGGGTGGGGTGGGGGTTGAGCCTAGTTGGCAACCAGAAATTTATGATATGGATAGTCTTCTTCTGAAGTTGATCTTGCTGCCAAGTGAATTAGGTCTCTTCTGTCCTTCTCTGTTTTCAATCCTGTCTAATTTTCGATGGAAAAGAGCTGATGTTCTGATCTTTGTCCACCCAAAATTCCAAGTTGATCCATTTCGATGCTTGTTGTTTTGGTTTTCGTATTCATGTTGCAGTTCAGAATAGTCCCTCTGCAGCTCTGTCATTTGTGTTTTTATTTTCTCAACTTCTGCTCTTAGGGTCATGACCTCAGTTTTTGTTGATGTTTCAGTTATTTCCTGTTCTGAGTTATCCCTTGCTGCCGGCTCTTTTCCTTGCATTGCTGCCCTCATCTTTACTTGCTCCGAGAACAACACCTGCATGTCTATCCCATTTTAGATAAGAAATGTAAAATTTGAAAGAAATAAAAGTCTCTTAGTCTTTCACTTCATTTGGGCCACGTATTTGCACATCATGCTATCAAGGTTTGTGAGTTACATGGAAAGAAAAATTTAGAAGGCTTTCGCTCTGAGTATGTTTTTTGAGAACATCTGTCCAGAGGCAGGCAATATTTTAACAGCTTTTGTTAGGACTGGTTTTCGGTTTTAACCTAATGTTTTGAAATATTGCTTATTGCCACTGTGCTTTTTTACAATATCAGCAATTCTCTCATGTAGCAACATGGGAACTAGCAATAAAACTAGTTGATTGGTCATATAAAGCATCTTCCATTGTCATGTGGTTGTGTATTGGATAAAAGTTGGTGTTGTCTTACAATAAAGCATTCCAAAAGAAATTAGTTGAGAAGTTCTGGTAGCTCAACAACAAACATAGTACAACTTGCATTTATATAGATCACAAGGTTCCTATGGCTGAAATGGAAGTCAGTGGTAGTATATGTGATTGTTTTGGACATTACATAGATACCATGTAGCTTTGGTGTCCAAAAGTCCTTAATTGCAGCATTTTCTTGGTATCCCAGAATTGTGTATTAGTTTATTTATAGGTTTGATGTAACTAGGTGTCATTCACTGCTTTCATCCCAATATTCTTTTTTTGATCCAGAGCCCCTATTAATGTACAGAACAACAGAGCTAGAAAGACTGTATGTTTAAGAAGATGAAGTTAGTAAAGAACAAGTGGAGGATAACTTAATTAGATGATTTTCTTTGTGTTGATGATGGTAAGGGTGGTTTTATATGAGCCGAGTTGCTAGCTTGAGTGGAATGCAAAAGAATGTAGTTCAAGGTGTTGAAAAAACATGTGTTGAGTGACATCTCAGGCACAATAACAGACCCGTATGTTCTGTGGGAATAAAACTGTTGTTGGTCAAAAAATTTTTAGAGCTTATGTGTGATTCAGCAAAATGCATTGTGTTTTCTTGGTACCTAGGAGGTTTCTCAAAATGGGGCTAAATTGATCTAACCCCACTTCTTAGGTTTTACCACTTTATACTCTAGATGAAGTCACAGCTTTCCTTGCCTTCTAAATAGCTAAACTACCAGTTTTCTACAGCCTTTGTTAAACCATTGTAGAATCATATCCCATGATCCTCTTTTATTCTCACTATGTGGCTCATGGCCTCCCTAATGGCTTTTGATTTATTGACTGAAAGAAAAGACATTAAATTTACATCATGGGCATCATGGCAGGCGTATTTGTTTGATTTAGTAGCGATGGATATCATAGATTTATAGTCGAGAATGTTGTATGTTTTACCTGAATCACTGTTCTTAGAGGCAACCTATCATTTTGTGCTGCATGCATGCATGCATCAAGTGATAGCTTCCCGCAGTTCATTATTTTGCATAGCCTTTTTCGGTCATGCTCAGAGAGCAAAGGATGAGTCTGGAAAGAATAATAGAGTTTTTAGGCTGTCTTATTGCTTATCTAAAAAGATGAGTACCAGAAAGACAACTGAAGGCAAACCTTGAGATATGTGTCAATGGCTCTATAAAGACCGTCATCACATGTTCGAGCTTTCTCTGGCAGAGCTTCAGCCAAAACTTGAAATTTGGTAATGGAGAGATTAGGGTCCTTTGCAACCTCAGCTAGGTAATTGTCCAAAAGCTTGCTAACACTTGATTTCCCTGATGTCAATGGCAGTTGCTGCTGCTCTTGTTCATGCACCAAAAAATAGTCAACGATTCTTTGTACCACATCTATGTTGTGCATTGTTTGTTGTTCAGGTGATCTATATGAATACATGAATGATAATTAACAAGGGTGAAAAGACTTGCCACAATTTTTAATGCAATTTCAAGCAATCTTAAGGAGACAGAGATAGTTGAATACTTACTTCACAAATTTGCCCTGATCTTCGCTTTTATAATTAGGAATCAAAAGATCATTAACATTGGCATTCTCCAACATCATCCCCACTTTCTTCTCAAGTTCTGAAATCAAAGCTTGGGATGCAGAGTAAAACAATGCGATTTTCAACATCTTCAGTAAGAACTTACATGGGATAGCTTCTGGTTGAGTAGGAAGTATGCTTAGTAGGCTTTCGATAATAGTTTTTTGCTCTTTGCTATCTTCAATACCCTCGTCTTCCTTCTTTCCAATCGAAATACTGAACTTCAGTTCATTCTTTCCATACCCATACCCTCTTAGTCCTTCTAACTCTACATTCATGCCTGGCAACTTCGTTTCTGCATATTGCATTATGTATTTACCTATGATCTCTGGTTTTGTTCCCTTTGCCTTTATTGCAGTTATAATTCTCATGAAATGATCAATGCGAAGGGAAGCCACATCATCAAACCATCCTTCATCATTGACCATATTTCCTATTGTTGAATTGTGTCTAGAAGCCTTCCATGCTATTGAGTCACAACATCTTCTGACTATTTGGAGATTTTCAGCCCATGGAGATAAAGTTTCACAGGATTTGAGAACGGTGATGGTATCTTTCCATGATGAGAGGACTACAAATGTGAGAAAAGTTTCTGTCTTTGACATAAGATTTCCATCGTCATGTTCTTCACTCATTTCTAGGAATTCTGATGCACATCTTAGTGGAGCTATGTTGCTAGGGTTTAAGTCTAATGGAAGACCATAACAGAATTTTAGAATGATTTTGAATGCTTCCGCTCCACCTGGGAAGTTCTCAAGCTTGAGTTCATACCCAAAATTAGAAAATGAAGGTTGAAGTTCCAGGTGGCCTATGTAGCCACATTTTGATAACAAGGGATACTGCATCAGGAGAAACAGAGGGGTTAGCAAATGATATTAGTTTCACTTTGAAAATTCGTTTCTTGCAGCAGTGCATTAGATCCATTGGTGTGCTATTGTGCTTTTTCATAGCTTTAGATTATATCTTTTTTGGTACAAAGAAAGGGAGGTCACCTTAAATAAGATGCGTTCGTACCTTGAGAATTGATTTGTTTGTCTTTGACATGTTTACATCTGTACTCGTAAATCAATTGGAAGAACAAAAGGGAAATATGTTTGATTCTGGTGAGCACAGATGAAATCACCTTAGTTATGGTGTGTTCATAACTTCACATGTTGTGAATCGATTTTTCTGTTCTTTGTCTGTGTGACATAGGATGCAGTTGTATTTGCAATATTAAACAGAAGAAATAAGAGAATCTGCGGAGATGTTTAAATCATTGTTGAAGTAGAGCCACCTCCTCTTTTCCTTTGTAATTGTTTTTTCCCCAAGTAACAGTAGTATAAACCCATTTAACTATCAATAACTTATACCCTAGAAGTTTTCAATTCATTTTCTTTGCTAAAGTCTAGCTAACAATGGATACACCTAGCTATTTTTGTTTGATGTTTAGATAGGCAGAGAGAGAGAGAGAGAGATAATTTTACACATGAGCTTTAACTTTTAAACCATGTTTTCTCTTGCTGGCAAGTTACCTTGTGAACAGTAAAAGTGATGTCCTGAACTTGAATTGATAGATCTGTTGGGATTTGGGAAGTGACAAACCTGCGCCATCCCATCAGTGGAAAACGAACGGAGAAACATTGGTAAGAGAGAGAGAAGAAACTCGAAAACAGAAAGGACCAAAAGGAAAAAATATATGCTTTAGATATTCTAATATTAGCTAAGTCATGCTCTAGCAACAAACATACGCTAGTAGTTTAAGTCGTACCATGAGTGATCTTTCTTTTCGAAGCTATCAGCTATTGCTATGACAGTAGTAGGAACTATGATGCTTTGGTTGCGATCTTGATCCATGCCATCAGAATCATTCTCTGAGCTGTGTGGTTGAACTTCTGGAAGTGACTTCCTCATGGTTACTACGAAGCTGTACGAGCTTGTGGTGAGTGACACCAATCATTTAATGGTGAGGACATGAAAGGAAAAAGCAGGGGCTGGGGCCAGATCATAAATGTGAGATGTGAGTCTGTGGTTCGTATACGAGTACTGTTAGGTGAGTTGAAAATTTCAGGAAATTCTGATTAGAGATCACTCAAGATCATGGAAAATAGAATGTTGGCTTTGAATTGTCAATTTTCCACCACTTATTTGTGTACCGAACCGATGGATTCTTGTGTGGCTCCAACCTGAATGTTACTTTCCAGCATTATTGCTTGCCCCATAGCCTTAACTCTAGTGTGTCGCATTATTTAGAAGAGGTGAAAACTGCTTATGCTTACTGTCCAAATCAAATCCATTTTGTCTGTTAATTTGCTGCCTGAATCATCTTGGCATCCTTGCAAATGTGGTACTGTACATGAGTTGTTGTTTTCTGAGAAAATCTCTGTACTGATGCATTTGAACTATTCATTTATTGCACACTCAAACCTTACATGCACGAACTATCTAATTGTTCGATTAGAAAAAATTACATATTTGAACAAATATATATATATATATACACACACGTCGAAGATGGTGTATAAATTACAAATTAGTCCCTTTTTTCGTGAAACGAATCAATTAGTTTCAAAAACTAATTATTTAGTTATTTTATTCAATGCTGATCACAATTAATTTAATATTTTTATTTTATAAAAAAATATATATATTTTTACAATTTATTTATTTATTTCTTAAAGCAAAAAAAACAAAAAACAAAATAACAAAAGAACTAAATAATTAATTTTTAAAACTAAAGAGATTAATTAATTTGCTTTTCAAAACGGGGGGGACTCATAGAGGCAGTAAATGGATCACTCACTGCGCATCTCTTAATTAGACTGAAAATCAAGCATCCTTTGTAAAATTTTGATCTCAACAACTTCATTCCAGAACCGTTCAACTTCTTTTTCTTCAACTTCTACGTTCTTCACTCGTTAGCTAGCTCTTTCAGAAAAACCTTTTTCCATTTGATGAGTCTTCATAGTTTGGAAATTATATACTGGACTAGAAAAACAAGACACTCAGTGTGTGTTATTGATTCTACCTGCATAGGGATGACAATTTGTCCTACTCCGATTAATGCGGGGATTCCTGCGCTCCATATTTATTTTGAACGAAGATGAGGTGAGGATGGTATTTGCCCATCTCATCTCGTTTGTCCCGTTTCATCCTTAAAATTATAATTGTACCTTATATAAAATCTAAGATTATTGACTCTTAGGATTTATTTTTTATATGAACTATCATTTTTTTTATATATAATTTAAAATTTAGTAATAAAATGTGATAAGACGAGATGGAAAAAAAAATTAAATGAAGCACCATTGCCATGCGGGGATCTCCATTCCTGTTTGGGATGAGGATGGTATGACAAATTTTGAGGCAAAATTTTCAGAGGCAGGGGCGGGGGCCATTCCTATACCTGCAGCAGCTGCTGCTTTCTTTTAGGAGCCATGGAAAGATTTTTCAAAGTTTAGGGTTATTACGTGTGTGGATTCTAGCAGGGTTACCCAATCTGAAATTTGGTTGGGTTTATGTGCGTACGTACGTATTGTTCATGATGTAGCTTGTTATATTTATAGACCTTAATTTCGCTTTGCATTTTAGGATTTCCTTTTCCTTTTCGAAGTAGCAAAAATATGGCCGTAAAGATTTACTATAGGTTTTCTGCAAGTATATAATCAATCCTAAAAAGAATTTGATAGTAATCCAAAATGTTAGTAGCTAGTTGGTCATGATCTGTCAACATATTTGTGTTGTTTTGCTAAGTTGAAATGGCGCAGGGGGAGACCAAGTGCATGTGCGGATGTTCCTCTTGGGCATGTGTGTGGTTTAAAGTTTACGCTAAACTTTTTCCAAAACAAGGAGAGGAAGACAAGGAGTAGAGGACGATAAACCTTGGGTCCGAATTGTAAAAGCTGTCTTTTGGGATTGTCTTTGCCGGCTAGGATAAAAAAAGGCTTAAACAGAAGAACGGACCATTGACTTAAATAAAGATTGCACCTTTCTGTTCATCACCACTCAAATTTAAAAAAATAAAAAAAATTCAATGCTTGAATCGTCCATTGCGAGTATTATTAGATGCTAGCTTTTGAACAGGTAAAATCATAAGATTTGTGGGACATCTCGTTAAATTTGTGCTTACTATTCTTTTTTCTTTTTTAAATCAAAGAGACTGAATAAAACAGCATGCCCATTTCTAAAACATTAACAACATATTTGGTTGGATACATGTATGCATGGTTTTTTTTTTTTTTAATTATTGCAAAACTTTTAATCATGTAATGGAAATATTGATAAAGTTTCGATTGTCCTTGTAATTTTCTTAAAACAATATTTTAGTTTCTATATTTTATTTTTATTTACAAACTGGTTCTTGTTTGAAAATATTTGGTCCTTGTTTTTACAAAATTTACAATTCAATATTTATGATATTTTTTTTAGCAATTAGATCCCTATAAGAATACTTTTTATCATATAATGGTTCACTATGTAGTTTTTTTTCTTTTTATATATAAAAGATTTGTAATGTAATGAGTCATTATAATTGTCCATTACATTACAATCTTGAAATTACACAACGTATCATAAAAATATAATGAATCACTATATTACATAATTTATCACATTCAACCAAACATACCTTAAATTCGTTATATTTTTGGTATCGGATAAAAGGAGTAGTCACCCCAATGACAAATAAGAATATTACCAAGATTGTTTTAGAAGTGTACGAGGAAAAGAAAAAGATTGCAATTATCGAAATAGAAAGGCTTATTTGTCAATTCATATTTTAATGGCTATATTTTGGTTTGTTACAAGTCTCGTTTAAATTTTGTTTCTCTTTCAGCTTTGTGTTGTTTTTCATTTTCGTAATCGAATCTTCTTCACCCTCTTCTCTAGTTGATTTTATTTAGTATATAAGGAGGGTTTGTAATGTAGATCAAGAGAGGATTTTATTAAATGAAATGAGAGAAAGATAGCTCATCGTTTTTCCTTTGTTTTCATTGGTTCTCTTTGCCTCTTGTTAAATAAAGAACTTGTTTCTTTATCTTCAAACATGGTATCAAAGCTATAGGTTGTCGATTAGCTATTCCTCTTCTTCTTTTCCTTAACACAAATCGAGAGTCGCTGATGGCGAGCTCTTTCCCCGCCGTCTCTATAGAGGATCCTTAGTCTCCATTTTATCTTCACCACTCCGATAATCACAAGTACGGTAGTGGTTTCGCCCGAGTTAGTTTCAAGCAATTATGCTTCGCGGAGTCGCTCCTTCATGCTTGCATTATCAATTCGTAATAAGACTCGGTTTTATGGATGGATCCATTATCACTCTAGCTAAAGATAATGTGAGCTATGGACCGTGGTTACGATGTAACAATCTAATCATTTCATGGCTCCTTAAGTTAATTTCACCTTCGATTGCTACAACAATCTTCTACATGGATTCAACTGCAGAGATTTGGGAGGTTTTGAAGAAATGATTCTCTCGGGTAGATGATTCCAAGATCCGTAATCTACAGCATGCGTTGTGTGTGATTAATCAAGGAAATCGCAGTGTGGATGAGTATTTCACCGAACTTAACTTTGTTTGGGAAGAATTAAGAAGCTATAAGCCATTAGCTCGTCGTGAGTGTGGAAAATGTAGTTCAAGTTGCTTCAAGAAATACTTTGATTTACAACGGAAAGATTATGCGTTCGAGTTGTTGAATGGTTTAAATGATTCTTTTGGTGGTTCGAGGTCACATATGGTGATGATGAAACCATTTCTTACTTTAGACGAACCGTATAATCTGTTTGTGAGAGAGGAGTCACAAAGACATGTACGTAGTCGGCTTCATCCATTTATAGAGTCCTCAGCAATGGCGACAACTAAAGAAAATTTTCGATATAAGTCTAAACATGAATTTGATTGTACACACCGTGGAAAGCCGGGGCATACTAGAGATAGATGCTATCAACTAATCGATTTCCACCAAATCCTAAATTTGTAAAGTATAAAGGAAGTTGATTAGTAATCAACTCAATATCAAGAAATTCTCTGTAGATACCCGGTTCTGTGGTGAGGGTCGCTATCGCCAATGTTACTTCGTAGATTGATTCTTCTTTGGTAGCTAAAGTTACTAATCCATTGCCATAAGTATCGTTAACTCCTAACCAGGTTCAACACTTAATCGCTATTCTCAATGAACCGATTGCACCTGCTGATATTTCATCTCACTCATCACCTATGCCGGTATAAGGTCTTCTCTTTTCCATTTCGTACACAAATTTCAAATCAATCAACATACATCGTGAGTGGTACATCTTGGATAATAGACACAGCGGCATCGGATCATATTTGTTGTAGCCTAAATTTTTTTCATTCATATCATGCCATTGAACACATTTTTGTATGTTTGCCGGATGGCACTAAGGTTCTAGCAACACATTCTAAGCACCGTGAATTTGCTTCCCAACCTAACTTTACACAATGTTCTCTTCATTTCTTCTTTCCAAATCAACATAATCTCGGTTAGCAAACTTACATCTACTAAGTACAATCTCTCGTTAACTTCAATCATGATTGTTGTTCTATTTAGGTCATTCCTTCATAGACAGTGATTGGTCTTACTAAAGTCACGAGCAGTCTCTACTTGCTGCAAGATTCAATCTCATCTTCTACTAAGAATAAGAGTTAGTTTGTTTCTACCGTAACTTTCGGTCATGTTCTTAATGTCAAAGATTGTTTTGATCTTTGGCATTTTAGGTTAGGTCATGTCTCTTATGACAAATTGAATGTCATTAAGCAAATTTGTTCTAATGTATTCATTGAAAAGAAAATTAATAAAACACCATGCACCTGTTTGTCCAATGGCCAAACATAAGCGACTTTCTTTTTTTACGCATACTCCAAGCTCCACTCGTTCCTTTTCAACTAATTTATGCCGACATTTGGGGATCGTATTCTCATGCAACTCATGGTAAATACAACTATTTTCTCACCATTGTCAATGATTTCACTAGAATAACATGGGTGTTTCTCATGAAACACAAGTTAGATGTCATCTCTATTATCCTTACATTTTTTAATCGTATTTTGAATCAATTTGGGTTTCACATTAAACAATTAAGGTCGGATAATGGACTCGAGTTCAACCTTTCATCCTTTTATTCCGAAATGGAAATTGTCCATCAATTATCTTGTGTTGAAACACCTCGGTAAAATGGCTTGGTTGAGTGAAAACATCAACATTTACTAATTTTAGCAAGAGCTTTGCTTTTT